TAGTCTACTGTCCCTACTACGAAGTGTTTGGCAACAAAATTCTAAACCGGACAAACTTAATTGATTTTTATGTAAAAAAATGTGAGGAATTCAATGGTGCTATTTGCCAAACTGCATGAGTAACAGCAAATTAATTATTAGCAAAAAGGTGTGCAAATCGATGCTAGGTCATAATCATACTTTAATCGCTATTTATATTATAGTTAATAAAAATCATTGTCTGAAATATTTTTTTTTGGCAAGCCCCATTATTGGTTCATACGAACCAACCATTTTTTTTTTATAAAAATCAATTAATTATTAGTCCAAAATAATTAATAAACTTTTACAAGCGAATGCTAACACAGCTGAGTGAGTTACCGACGCAGTCCGCGCAGCTCCGAGCGACTGGCGGTGATGCGCGCGCAACTATTTCGTTCAAATCACCCTTCTAGGTGATGTCTCTGATAAAAATAATTTAACGTGATAATAATTATTTAATATTAAATTCAACTGAAAGTTTTTACTATTTTTTACTTTTAATATTGACATTATACTTACAATTACAAAGCTCGATAAATATTTAAAAAATTGTGAAATTAAGTAAAGTATTATAAGTGTTTTAGGATGTCAGATAAATTAGGTAAACACATATATACGAAATAGTTGCGCGCGCATCACCGCCAGTCGCTCGAAGCTGCGCGGACTGCGTCGGTAACTCACTCAGCTGTTAGCATTCGCTTGTAAAAGTTTATTAATTATTTTGGACTAATAATTAATTGATTTTTATAAAAAAAAATGGTTGGTTCGTATGAACCAATAATGGGGCTTGCCAAAAAAAAATATTTCAGGCAATGATTTTTATTAACTATAATATAAATAGCGACTAAAGTATTATTATGACCTAGCATCGATTTGCACACCTTTTTGCTAATAATTAATTTGCTGTTACTCATGCAGTTTGGCAAATAGCACCATTGAATTCCTCACATTTTTTTACATAAAAATCAATTAAGTTTGTCCGGTTTAGAATTTTGTTGCCAAACACTTCGTAGTAGGGACAGTAGACTACAACGACTTGTCGAACTTTTATTCATGAAAAAAAATATGACCCTAAAATTAACAAACGTCTGTAATTTTTTTTACTTTTATAACAATTAAATTACTATAAAAAAATTTCCCATTAAGAAATTAAAAAAAAAGTGCAAATTATTTTTTAAAAATAATTTTTTTTTATAATTGATTTTTTGTAAATATAAAAAAAATTGTCAAATGTCTTTACTTATTTAATTAAATGATTTTTGTTTAAAAAAAAAAAAACAGTATCATTTTATTCTTAAATGAATTTATTTAAAAGTGTATTAAATCAAAATTATTTTTTACATTTAAAATCTTTAAAAGACAAATTAATTTATTTATAAAAATTTGAAAAAATTCTTATCAATAATTTACTAAATTTAACGTTTTTTAAATCCATATTTTTTCCTTTCATAGAACAAATCGGTCTTAGAACTACCCAAGTTGACAATTTTGGGACATCCGTCTCTCTGTAACAAACACAATAATTTTATTAATATAATTTTATAAAGCAAATGAGTTAATTAAAAAAAAGTAACAGACAATAGTTATTAATTAATTTTCAGTTATTTAACTTATGAATTGACAATTAAAGACAATTCTTATCATGAAAATTACTTTCATAAATTCAAATAACAATCCTTTATGTTACTCATAAATTAAATCTTTAAATATTCATAAGATACTTACATCTTTCTCCTGAATAGTGCACTCCTTACAGTAATAGGCGTCTGATACACCTGGGCCACCACAAATCACGCAACGTCCTTGGTACGATCCATAATTGCATTCATCGCAAACTCTGACTAACGTGCATGGTCGGACATAACTATCGCAGATCACACACTTTCCATCACATTTTTCGCATAAACGACCGATAGCTTAAAAAAAAAAAAAAAAAAAAACATAATATTATTGATAAAATAAACTCTTAAACTAATCTAACCAAAGTTTGAATAATTTTTTAAATTTAATTACTCCAAAAAATAAGTGAAAATACATACCAACACCTGGTTGCTTGCGACAAAAAATTAAATCAGCATGATGTTTGGCCATGGTTTAATAAATAAAGTAAATTGTAAAGATTACTCTATACACGTGGTGCTTGCTCCGAAGTACTCCGAGCTTGACTAATATGACGATAAACCCAACTAAAGTTTTAGACTGTACTTAGGTAAACTACAGGTAAACTTTAGAGCAAGATCTCTCCTGTCGATATTTCATACCTCCAAAAATTTGACCTGTAAGAAAATTTCGATAATGAGAATCCGTTTTCTATTATCTCCAACAATCACTTTCAGTACATAGCAATGAATTATGTATAACATTAAAATTAGCCGTTTCTTGGCAAGTTTTTAATTTTATTTAACAAAAAAATTTGTTCCGAAAAATTATTTTAAAAAAATTGCATTTTTAATTTTTTTTTAATTTCTACATGTCAATTTTTTAAATAATTTTTTTCGGGTCATAATTTATTTGTTACAAAAATTTTTAAAACTAACAAATATCGGCTAAACTAATTTTAATGAATATGATGTTTATGAAAACTTATGAATATAAAAATAGTTGATCGATGTATTCTTAAAATGAAAATAAATTAATCTACATACCTTGAAGAATTTCGTTAAATAATTTAAAATATAAGAAAAATTTCTCTATCGGTGAAATAATTTCTGTATATTGTTTTAAAATAAAAATAAATTTGAATAAATTAAATTTATTTTCAGATGGATCCAACTAAACTTAACCTCAAATAATGTTTTTGTGTTGTGTTTTATATATGACTAGATTTAATGTGCGCGCGCAAGCGTGCGTCTGAATTCTAGTATGGAATTATAGGAATTATACCTTCATGCTTATGATATATTTGATCAATCACATTACGAATAAATTAGCTTTACATATATTTCGTCTGAAAATTTTATCTGGAGGTTAATACTTTAAAATCAATTTTTCATGATTGTAATTAAACAACATCTGATTGCTTGATGTGTATTATCTAAATAAATGTGATACGAAAAATTTTTTAAATAAAAAATTGAGAACATACTAGTGGCGCCAAAGAAAATAAAGACGTCGGTGTTATAATGCCGCAGAATTTTGATCTTAAACCGCTTAATTTCGCCTACAATTTTGTCTAAAAAAAAGAGAAAATTTCAATAAAAAGAATAATTTATTTATGTCATTGATGATAAATATATTTACTAAAACAATTTGTCATAAAAAACCAAAGTAGTCATGGCGAAACATCACCCAGATTTAATTTTTTGCCGAAAACAACCTGGAGTCGGTGTGTAAACAATAGTAACCTTAACTCTTACAATGTTGATCTATTATGCAATATTAATAATAATAATAACAATAAAAAAATTTTTACTGTTTCAGCAATTGGAAGATTATGCGAGAAGTGTGATGGAAAGTGCGTCATATGTGACAGTTACGTCAGGCCTTGTACTCTTGTAAGGATATGTGACGAGTGCAATTACGGAAGTTATCAAGGAAGATGTGTTATTTGCGGTGGTCCAGGAGTCTCTGACGCTTACTACTGTAAAGAATGTACAATGCAGGAAAAAGACGTAAGAATTTTTTTTTAAATAAAATTTATTACATTAGTATAACAGTTAATTAAATATTTTTTTTATTACATTTCAGAGAGATGGATGTCCAAAGATTGTTAATTTAGGGAGTTCTAAGACAGATCTATTTTATGAAAGAAAAAAATATGGGTTTAAAAGAAGATAAATCGCTATTTATATATTTGTTACGTATTGAATAATCAAAGATATAAATAAGATACGGGATTATTTAAATGAAAGACTTATAAAGTTTTTTATACTATAGAAGCCAAATTAATAAGATAAGTTTACACGTAACAAAATAAAAAAAAAAAAAAAACAATGTAATTATAACGTTATTTAAATTTATTTTTATAATACATAATTATAAGTAAAATATTTAAAAAAACGTATTTTTTATTTAAATGCAATAAATTTGTCATGGATTTAAATATATGAATTTGAATAAATGTTACATCTGAGTATTCAATCAAAAATATTTTTTATACAGTTCCAAGTTTAAAATTACGGTTAAAATTTAAATTAATAATTTTGATATTGTTAAAAAATATAAAAAAAGATTTTATATTAACAATTGATCTTGTCAATTAAAATAATTCAGCGTTAGATATTTTACGCTCGAGTTAGATGTTTTTGATTTTATACAAACATGAGACCGTTTAAAACTCTAACTTTAATTTCTTCTAATCTATCTTTACAAACTTTCTAATTGAACGGATTATTATTGATAAATTTTCAATTCGTTGAAATGATTTTCTCTATAAGTAACATCTACTATTTTCCACGATAAATTTTAGTCTAATCTAAGATTTGTTTTCTGTATAATTGACTAATCTAGTGATTCTATTTTCGTGATAAGTCGTCGTGATATCAGTTGCTAAAATCTATAAAACCTCAAAAGTCATTGATATACGTTCTGCTACAATTGTAAATATTGACTGACGATTTGCCCAAAAAAAATTATAAGTAAAATAGTGATGTTAATCAGATTATTGTTACAATATTTGCTGATAAAAATATTAAAAATAATAAAAATATAATATATGTATAAAATTGCAATGTGTAAGTTAATAGCTAAAAAAAAAAATTACTAATAATATTGTCACTAATTAATTACGTAGCACTCTAATTATCAATTCTATTGGCATCGACTTAAAGTTTATTATTATTCACGCTAATTATTTTTATTAAAACTAAATTAGTAATCTGACGGACGGAAATATTTAATATCGCCCTCTTATATATCAACAAATATATATTATTATAATTTTTTATTTTTTTTTAATACTTATTAACCGCTTCGTCAGATTCAATTGATCTTGCTTTTGATTAATCGTAATTAACCGATAAATTAATTTATTAATATTCCTGCGATGGAAGAGATCAGTATTATATTTATAAATTTCTTTTTTTTTCAAATTAAAAATATATATGATTTTTCTCTTATGCATACTATGGAGCAATCATGGATCATTTTTTTTATAAATTATTTTACGTACTTACGTAAATATTTTTATGTATGAAAATAATTTATCAACGTATAACTCCCAACACCTTTTAATTGTATGTATATTAATAATATTATTTGTTTCTTTGTTTATTATTGTTAATAATTATTAATTTGTTAGTTAATTAATGTAATAATTCGCGATTGATATTACTTTGACACACAATTATTAAATCAATTTAGTTCACCGAGAACTAAATTGATTTCAAATAAAAATTGTCTACTCTGCATTGTTGTGAATTGACGTATAAATTAATCATTATGATTATTATTATTATTATTATTATTATTATTATTATTATTATTATTATTATTATTATTATCTTTACGTATCAGGAATTGGATCAATGTTGATTCCTTTACGGACATCTATCTCTCATCTGGACAGAGAGGAACTCGCAACAGAGCGTCCACTTACAGCCGACTGAAGGCTCATCATTGATCCCCTGAAAAATTTATTGCAATAATGAAAATACCCACAAGAGCGTCTTTGTCAAATTTTATTAATAAAATTTAATTACCTATAATGCGCAGATGGTAGTACTTCGTAAAAGTACATAAGTTGAGCTTTATGCGAGCTTATTGAAGGAAGAAATTCGCCCTCATCCGGATTTTTCCATTGCAAAATATATGTTCCCGGTTCTTGGATTATATGTGTACCCTAAAATTAGAAAATAAATTTTATTATCTATATAATTAAGAGGAAAAAATTTTGTCTCTGGCATATTTATATGATAAAATGAGATTTTTTAATTAAATTTAGTGTCATTGGGAAGGTCTTAATCCAAATTAGAGCTTTTTCAATATTTCATATGCTTTTCAGCAATAGTTAATTTTTTATGATAAGTTCTCGAAGTAGTTGTAAGTAGATTTGAATTTCACTATACAAGTCATGAATCCCGGAAAAAATTTTAAAGTTATGAAAAATTCATATTATTTCATTAAAAATTATAATAATAATAAGCGTAACCAAAAGATCGAGGTTCGAGTCCTGGTCTGAGCGTTTCGAATTATTTTTTCGGTTACTGAAAAATATTTCACTGAGTAAAAAATAACATCTTTATATAATCTCAATTAAAATTGTCTTCAAAATCAAAATTTTTAATTATTATATATATTCACCCGAGGATGGTATGAGTGCTCATATCGACAATATTGTGGTGAAAAATAGTTAATAAATAAAAATTGCATAGTCTCTAAGAAGATCGGGTGTTGGCTTAAAAAATGTTAATAAATCCTCTTTAATAAATAATAATTAATAATAATATTTTTTTTGTAACAAAAAATAAAGCGATCATTCTGGGGGTGTTTGTTTCTCAGGAAAATTGTGTGTGATACAATTATTATTATTATAATTTTTATTTTATAGTAATTTTAATAAAATAATATGAATTTTTCATAACTTTAAAATTTCTTCCGGGTTTATTTATTCCGATTACTACAAATCGTTTGTTTATTTTGTTTTGTACGGATAAATGTGGTTATAGCTCAAAAATTAATTTATATAATTAAAAGACTAAGAAAAATTTTGTAATGGATATATCTTCATCGTAAATTGGGTTTGATATTTTTTTAACTATAGTCATTTATGATTTAAATAATTGAAAGAGTAAGAAAAATTTTGTGACGAGCTTATTATTATTATTATTTTGAAAGGAATTTTTTAAGTTAAATTTGCTATCATCAAAAAATTCTTTACAAGAATTTATGCCTTTTCACTGTTTTATACATTTTTCAGTGATATTCTATTATTTATGTTAAAATTTTGGAGCAGTTTTGAAAATTTTTTTCTCCTATAAATTTTTTCTGTCACATTTATCGATTAAATTATTTTTTATTGATCCTATCATAACACTATTATTTTTTAAATTTACTTATAAAATTCCCAAACTATGTACAATGTAATTATAAATATAAAAAAATCATTGAGTCAAAGTTTTCTCATTCATAATATGTAAATCTCGGCAGTCACATAGTAACTGCAGGTGGCTAGTATATGTTAATTAAATTCAGCAACTAAATATTTTACCTGAATACTTTCTCCATCATGACAAACAACACTCGATTCAACTTTAACACAGTTGAGACCGTCTTTCCACTCTTTCAATGCATCCGAATCAGCTGCTGTTATTTCTAATGACTCTGTTAGAAAAATTAAAAAAATTTTTCCAATTACTTATAAGATTCTTTGGAAAAAATAGTTAATATGAATGAAATTTTTTTTGTACTCGTCCCAAATAAATTACCATTGATATTAGTAGCATCTTGTTTTTCGTGTAAAACAGTGAAGATAACATTGTGACGCATAACATCAAAGTCCCAAGTGAGTACAGCACCCGGATCATTAGTGTTGATAGCAACATGATGAACTTGACCGTGTGCTAAACTTATAGAATGATACAAACTGTGTTCATGGTCATTTGAAGCTGCTTCCAAATCCAATCTGTACAAACTCTTGGGCACAACTCCGCCTTCCATAACATAAGTCTAAAATAAAATTCATAGTCAATAATTATATTAAATTACAAGGCTTCCATCGATAACAGAAATAACAGACACAGCACTTATTCTATTGATACACGAATATGTAAATATTTATTATCGCAATGTGTAATTAATGTGTGTATTTTATTTTCAATAAGATATTATCTTGACAATCAGACAACAAAAAATTAGCGTGAAATAAAAGATCTTTTTCAACAATTGAAAAATTTTAAGTCACGTGCGTTGTCTACATGTGTAGTTTAAAAAACATCACGTTGTACGAGTGAACGATTTAATACAAGTACAAATTTTGCACGTGATAATGATAATAAAAACCGTGATCATTGCGTCATTAATTTTAATATTTGCTTTTATTAGTACATCTTACGTTATTAATTGTCACGGTGTTACTGTAATACCGAGTTGGTATTGTTAATTCATCGACCAAAATACTGTCCTATCATTTTATCAAAGGTTTATTATTATAAGTACAACTAAAAATAAATTCCACGATTCACTTACCTCAGATGGCCCACCAAGAAAATCGGGAATATATTCAGCGTCAATATAATCCGTTAATCCTCCTTCATTTTGTTCTTGGTAGTCAGTTCCACAGTAAAATATAAATTTATTTCTTGTATTTTCATCTAAAAACAATAACTTGTCAGTCATATAACCCAAGTAAAACTTTATAACTAATTTAACTTACGTATAAATGTACTAATTAGTGTCCATAGTATTGGGAAACATCGAGGAGCGCGTATTATTAAGACTCTACCCATTGTTTCTGGGTAATTCGCTTCGACAATTTCAATTATTCGCAGTAAAGCCTGTAATAATATCACATGTATGCTATTAAGAGAATTAGGTGTATTTGGTGACAGACATATATATGTATATATATATGACAAAACTAGGTTAATGTGGTTTCACTTGATATCATTGGAAAGGTCTTGATTTAAATTTGTGACTTTTTATGGTTTCAGATGGTTCTTATCGGCAGTTAATGTAATATAAATATTCTGACTAATTGTAAATATATTTAAATTTTGAATAAAAAATTTATTTATTCATTTTTATTAAATTTAAATTAGCATACTTGAAATCCTTGAAATTAAAATATTTAAACAAACGCGTAATGACCTTAGGTTGGTAGTCAATATTATTTTTTAGATTCAAATTAAACTTGTGTTAATTATTTATTAATATTGACTTACTTTAATTCCAGGACGCCATAGATGACGCATATTTAATCCTTCGAGATCGATAAGTAAACACCACTGAGACACTGGATGTCCTAGTACAGTAGTAGCCTCTTCCATTAGCGACAACCCTTCTTCACAAATATGTAAAGCCTAAAAGTATTAATATAAATAATTCAAGTTAGCCAGTAAAAGTTTTAAACTATTGTCCACGCTGACGATAGTAAGTAATTACTTACCAACAGCAATAATTCATCTTCCCCGATCGATTTCAGTAAACCTTTGACGTCCATTTGTCCAAGTCTTAAAATGTAAAGCGGACGACCATCTATAAAAAAAGACAATATTTTAACATACTTTTTTTTTTTTTACAACTATTGATTTCTTTTTATCCTCACCTTTGTCACAATGATGCCATCCACCAGGAAAGTAATCCTTTACGACGCGCGGAGCCTCATACTCATCCAGTAATTTGTCAATTTGATATTTTTTACGCCAATGAAGCGACTGTGTCAACATTTCTTTAGCTTTATCAACCATAAATTCACGGGCCCGTAAAAACCGCAACAATGTAGCGTCATTTGGCACCGATGCACCTCGTAATTCTTGTATACTTTGACGTAGTTGTAATAGTTTACTTTCCTGCATTAAATCTAGTTTACCTAAATATCTCTCTATGTAATCAGAAGATAACTTTATTTCTTTGTTGACTGGTAATTTTGTTTCTGTCTCAACATCATTTTGATCGTTGCTTTCTTCAGTCTCGATCCTAAAAATATTTAATTAAATCAGCTTTTATAAATGATACTTTTAGATAAGTACGTAGTAAATAAATCATAAAATAAATACTGACGTTTTTTCATCTTTCGGAGGGTTTTTTTCAGGGTCAACCCACGGCGCTACGTATGTTACCCCTTGTTCTTTTAGCTCATTAATAAAATATTCAATTATTTCCTTACCCTAAATATTTAAATCAATACAAATTAATAAGCCAATCATAATCAATTTGGTAAGTAAATAAAATATTAACTAAAAACCTTGGCTATATTTTGAGCGTATTGCTTCATGGCTAACTTTTCCATTGAATTTTCAAATCCAAAGAAGTTTTTTATATCCAAACTCGCTGTTTGCTCGAAGCATGTCCACTCACTGTTTTCTGGGTGTATCTAAAATATTAATTTAATAAAAATCTGAACATAAATAATAATATTAATGTTAAAACTTACAAAATATCGGCATTTCTCAATAACTGTAACACGGGATGAAAAACTTTCATTCCACGCTTCTATTTCTAAAATGCTATTACGTCTGTCTAGGACATTTTTTTGTATAAAATAGACGTAATCGACTCCAATTATCTGTAAAAAATAATTACACCAGTTGATGAATAATTGCTGCTATTAAAAACAATGATAAAGAATAATAAAAACCTTCTTCAAAATATAAGGGGCTTCAACATTGAGTTTACATCGTCTTTCAGTGGTTCTAATTGCTCCTCCTTGGCTTTCTTCATCTTTCGTAACATCGCATCCGACAAAAACAGGAATTTGTGGACACGTGGGGAATCTTTTCTCGTACGCCTTTTTATAAAATTAAAAGAAAAAAAAAAAAAGAACAAGTTTCAGTAATAATTATTACAAACAAGAATTTAAGTACATATATCTAGAATCTATAGAATTTTAATGATTGACTATGGTCAAGTGATTGCTATAATCAATAGCGTGTCTCTGTCAATTACGTGCATGAATAGCTTTATTATGACCAATCAAAATAATTCAACTTCTTATTCTCCTTACAATTAATTTATATTTTTATTTCAAGTCAAGCCACTTACAAACTTGACAGGCAATAAGCATTGATAAAAAAAAAAAAAACAGAGTAAAAATAATGACTGCTGATAATTAATGAATTAATGAATGATGATAATGAAGAAGAGTTAAAGTATAGAATTACCAGGTGGATTTAATTACAGAAATTAATTTAAATTACTCAGGAGTAGAATAAGATTAAAGTCTTGGAAATAAAAAATTGTTATTGTTGATGTTAGTTGTGAATATCAAGGTTTTAGTACAAGTTCAAAGGCTGACCTTTGGCATTAAAGAAACTAAATAAATAAATAAATAAATAAAGAAAATAAAGTGCACAAAGGTAAGAAAGTAAACTTTATACTGTTTACTATTTGACGGCGTGCAGTATAAATTGGCATTGGCATTATATACCCGCGTTCACATGCTTATTATAGGTACATACTATAAGTTAGAAGAAAGTAGGTAGCTGGTACGAGAGATGAATGTTTGATGACAGGAGAATTATTTGAAGGCTACAGACACTATCTATAATAATAAACGCACCAGCATAACAAGTGCAAATGGGTGCTTGTAGACCCGTACGGGCGACTGGTACTGTTGAACCATTTTATCCTTTTTTTCTTATTGCTTATTCCTTAAACTTGTTTTTTTTTTTTTCTTACTATGTAACAACAGATAAGATTTCACAACACATTCACTTTTTACTCCTTTGTGTACCTTCTTTGTTTATTTTTTTTTTTTTTTTTTTTACTTATTTAGTTGATATTGAAAGTGCAACGTGATAAATTTATATTTTTATTGTATTATGACTTATGACTAATTGGATGTTGAGGTATTGTTAAGGAAGTAAATAAAATTTATTTTTTATGTCGGCTGTTAATCCAATTGTCACAGTTCGAGATATCACGGACGAATGCGATTCTGACCTAACGTTTGGAAGGGACGTGATTTCGTTGTTGAAGCTCCGATCCTAGTGGACTCTGGTGACGGCTAAGCAATTATATTTTATTGTAAAATGCGGGAAAATTGAAATGTTAGTGTGAGTTTAAAATTAGCGGCCAGCTAATTCTTGAGAATTTCAAGTAATTTTTAATTTGATGATTGAAAATCAATCTGAAAAATTGTACAGAAAGAGTTATTAAGTTTTTAAATTTATTTTTTTATCATACTATTTTTGTAATAAATAAATTATTTATAAATTTTCAAAAGGTATTTATTCATCTAATGATCGACGGCAAATAAAAACAAGTCTACATCCAATTCAGTAGTAAAGTAGAATTATAAAATATCGCAATTGAGTACAGTGTTGAATATTAATTTATAAATACAACTAAAGTAATTAATTTGAAAAAAAAAGTTTAAAGATTGCTTCAAGAGTAGAATTACCTGAAAATTCAACGAAAACTTTTAATTGTATGTGGAATTGGTATCTTTATTGGCATATTTATAATCCATCCAATGAAATTTGTAATTGCACAAATTAATATTGTTTACTTTGTTTAACGTTAAAAAAAATTTTGTATCTAAAATTTTCAAACCTTATAATAAATGATAAATTTATTAATTTAAAAAAATGTTTACCTTTGTTATTTCAAGACCTCAATTATTTTTAAAATTATGAGTGAGTTTACTAACGAGTTAAATTAAAAACTTTTGTACACTATATTTGTAAGTTGACGCTGTACTACTTATAAAGATATTTGAAGAATATTCAGTATTTATTTATCCAATTTCATTGGCTCTCGAACAAGTATTCTCTAAGGGTCGTAAAGTATAGAATATCACATTTATAGTGAGTAATTTTGTAATATATAAAAGTAAAACATATATGATATATAAAGTTAATTAATTTGAATTAGATTAAGGTAAGCTATTGAATCTAAACATTATTAAATGTACTTATTAAAAAACCAATTGTAGACAGAAATTTTAAATTCTTTAAAAGTTCTTAGTGCAACAATTAAATGTCTAAAGGTAATTTGTTCCGTTTTGTTGCCGTTAGTAAGAACGAGTGCTCAAACATATGTATGTCGCTCAAACATAATTCATACCTATAAATTATACTTTAATGATAAATCTTTTTTCACTATTTATTAATTAAGCATAATTAATAATTAGTCATAAATTCTTATCATGAAAATAAATATTTGTATGAAAAATTCTTTGTTTGCTTACTGATTTCTTCCATGCGTGCAGTTATTCGAAATTGAAAATATTACCTGTTGTTATCAGGATGCAAGAATAGTATATAAGCCGTGGATCATCTTTAGTTCAGTATATTCGACCAAACTGTTAAATTTAATTAATTAGTCTAATAATGGTTTGCCTAAAAACTGCAATTGTTCTCGCGGTCTTGGCTTCTGCTGTCAAAGCTGCTGAAGAAGAAAAAACGGTAAGTGAAAAATTTTTAATATATAATACTAAGATATATTACTCATACTTGATTTCAGAATACAATGAAAATATTTGTCCACTGTTCACCAACAAATGTCAATGTAAAATACACACCAGAAGCGAATATAGCTGGTAAATTTTATTTTGAAAACTCTACAGATCCGACGTGTCAAAAAGAATTTTCAAAAGGAGCTGAAGAAACGTTAATGGTGGATTATGAAACTTGTGTTCCGGACGAGAGTAAAAACTTTAGCATTATTGTCGAGTACGTTAATGAAGCAAATGAAACTAAAAAATCCCGTGGGTCTGGTAAGTAGTTGTCAACCGATACCTGTTGAGATTTCTATATTTCTAAAAGTCAAAGTAGAGTGTCAGTAGCCGAAAACCAGAGAGACGATGAGGAAGAAAAAAATATATTCCGGAACATTACTGAAACAAAAACCGAAAGTAATAATAAAACCGACAGTAAAATGGAGACCGAAAGTTATAACAAAACTGATATTAAAAATAAAACAGAGAGTAATAACAAAAATTTAAAATTTTGTGTATCACTTAATGAAGACTTATTAAATCTTCTGTTAAAATTTCAAGTCGATTCTCAGTACAGTTTATAAAAATGCTTCTTTTATGTTTTTTTTTTTTTTTAAACTAATAAAATTTTCTTCTATTTCATTATTTAAATACCCTGAATCCTTTTAAATCATATTTTTAGAATTAAATAGTATTCAACAGAATTAAAAAATTTGAATCATGTTGAATCCTTTTAAATCATATTTTTAGAATTAAATAGTATTCAACAGAATTAAAAAATTTGAATCATGTTGAATCCTTTTAAATCATATTTTTAGAATTAAATAGTATTCAACAGAATTAAAAAATTTGAATCATGTTGAATCCTTTTAAATCATATTTTTAGAATTAAATAGTATTCAACAGAATTAAAAAATTTGAATCATGTTGAATCCTTTTAAATCATATTTTTAGAATTAAATAGTATTCAACAGAATTAAAAAATTTGAATCATGTTGAATCCTTTTAAATCATATTTTTAGAATTAAATAGTATTCAACAGAATTAAAAAATTTGAATCATGTTGAATCCTTTTAAATCATATTTTTAGAATTAAATAGTATTCAACAGAATTAAAAAATTTGAATCATGTTGAATCCTTTTAAATCATATTTTTAGAATTAAATAGTATTCAACAGAATTAAAAAATTTGAATCATGTTGAATCCTTTTAAATCATATTTTTAGAATTAAATAGTATTCAACAGAATTAAAAAATTTGAATCATGTTGAATCCTTTTAAATCATATTTTTAGAATTAAATAGTATTCAACAGAATTAAAAAATTTGAATCATGTTGAATCCTTTTAAATCATATTTTTAGAATTAAATAGTATTCAACAGAATTAAAAAATTTGAATCATGTTGAATCCTTTTAAATCATATTTTTAGAATTAAATAGTATTCAACAGAATTAAAAAATTTGAATCATGTTGAATCCTTTTAAATCATATTTTTAGAATTAAATAGTATTCAACAGAATTAAAAAATTTGAATCATGTTGAATCCTTTTAAATCATATTTTTAGAATTAAATAGTATTCAACAGAATTAAAAAATTTGAATCATGTTGAATCCTTTTAAATCATATTTTTAGAATTAAATAGTATTCAACAGAATTAAAAAATTTGAATCATGTTGAATCCTTTTAAATCATATTTTTAGAATTAAATAGTATTCAACAGAATTAAAAAATTTGAATCATGTTGAATCCTTTTAAATCATATTTTTAGAATTAAATAGTATTCAACAGAATTAAAAAATTTGAATCATGTTGAATCCTTTTAAATCATATTTTTAGAATTAAATAGTATTCAACAGAATTAAAAAATTTGAATCATGTTGAATCCTTTTAAATCATATTTTTAGAATTAAATAGTATTCAACAGAATTAAAAAATTTGAATCATGTTGAATCCTTTTAAATCATATTTTTAGAATTAAATAGTATTCAACAGAATTAAAAAATTTGAATCATGTTGAATCCTTTTAAATCATATTTTTAGAATTAAATAGTATTCAACAGAATTAAAAAATTTGAATCATGTTGAATCCTTTTAAATCATATTTTTAGAATTAAATAGTATTCAACAGAATTAAAAAATTTGAATCATGTTGAATCCTTTTAAATCATATTTTTAGAATTAAATAGTATTCAACAGAATTAAAAAATTTGAATCATGTTGAATCCTTTTAAATCATATTTTTAGAATTAAATAGTATTCAACAGAATTAAAAAATTTGAATCATGTTGAATCCTTTTAAATCATATTTTTAGAATTAAATAGTATTCAACAGAATTAAAAAATTTGAATCATGTTGAATCCTTTTAAATCATATTTTTAGAATTAAATAGTATTCAACAGAATTAAAAAATTTGAATCATGTTGAATCCTTTTAAATCATATTTTTAGAATTAAATAGTATTCAACAGAATTAAAAAATTTGAATCATGTTGAATCCTTTTAAATCATATTTTTAGAATTAAATAGTATTCAACAGAATTAAAAAATTTGAATCATGTTGAATCCTTTTAAATCATATTTTTAGAATTAAATAGTATTCAACAGAATTAAAAAATTTGAATCATGTTGAATCCTTTTAAATCATATTTTTAGAATTAAATAGTATTCAACAGAATTAAAAAATTTGAATCATGTTGAATCCTTTTAAATCATATTTTTAGAATTAAATAGTATTCAACAGAATTAAAAAATTTGAATCATGTTGAATCCTTTTAAATCATATTTTTAGAATTAAATAGTATTCAACAGAATTAAAAAATTTGAATCATGTTGAATCCTTTTAAATCATATTTTTAGAATTAAATAGTATTCAACAGAATTAAAAAATTTGAATCATGTTGAATCCTTTTAAATCATATTTTTAGAATTAAATAGTATTCAACAGAATTAAAAAATTTGAATCATGTTGAATCCTTTTAAATCATATTTTTAGAATTAAATAGTATTCAACAGAATTAAAAAATTTGAATCATGTTGAATCCTTTTAAATCATATTTTTAGAATTAAATAGTATTCAACAGAATTAAAAAATTTGAATCATGTTGAATCCTTTTAAATCATATTTTTAGAATTAAATAGTATTCAACAGAATTAAAAAATTTGAATCATGTTGAATCCTTTTAAATCATATTTTTAGAATTAAATAGTATTCAACAGAATTAAAAAATTTGAATCATGTTGAATCCTTTTAAATCATATTTTTAGAATTAAATAGTATTCAACAGAATTAAAAAATTTGAATCATGTTGAATCCTTTTAAATCATATTTTTAGAATTAAATAGTATTCAACAGAATTAAAAAATTTGAATCATGTTGAATCCTTTTAAATCATATTTTTAGAATTAAATAGTATTCAACAGAATTAAAAAATTTGAATCATGTTGAATCCTTTTAAATCATATTTTTAGAATTAAATAGTATTCAACAGAATTAAAAAATTTGAATCATGTTGAATCCTTTTAAATCATATTTTTAGAATTAAATAGTATTCAACAGAATTAAAAAATTTGAATCATGTTGAATCCTTTTAAATCATATTTTTAGAATTAAATAGTATTCAACAGAATTAAAAAATTTGAATCATGTTGAATCCTTTTAAATCATATTTTTAGAATTAAATAGTATTCAACAGAATTAAAAAATTTGAATCATGTTGAATCCTTTTAAATCATATTTTTAGAATTAAATAGTATTCAACAGAATTAAAAAATTTGAATCATGTTGAATCCTTTTAAATCATATTTTTAGAATTAAATAGTATTCAACAGAATTAAAAAATTTGAATCATGTTGAATCCTTTTAAATCATATTTTTAGAATTAAATAGTATTCAACAGAATTAAAAAATTTGAATCATGTTGAATCCTTTTAAATCATATTTTTAGAATTAAATAGTATTCAACAGAATTAAAAAATTTGAATCATGTTGAATCCTTTTAAATCATATTTTTAGAATTAAATAGTATTCAACAGAATTAAAAAATTTGAATCATGTTGAATCCTTTTAAATCATATTTTTAGAATTAAATAGTATTCAACAGAATTAAAAAATTTGAATCATGTTGAATCCTTTTAAATCATATTTTTAGAATTAAATAGTATTCAACAGAATTAAAAAATTTGAATCATGTTGAATCCTTTTAAATCATATTTTTAGAATTAAATAGTATTCAACAGAATTAAAAAATTTGAATCATGTTGAATCCTTTTAAATCATATTTTTAGAATTAAATAGTATTCAACAGAATTAAAAAATTTGAATCATGTTGAATCCTTTTAAATCATATTTTTAGAATTAAATAGTATTCAACAGAATTAAAAAATTTGAATCATGTTGAATCCTTTTAAATCATATTTTTAGAATTAAATAGTATTCAACAGAATTAAAAAATTTGAATCATGTTGAATCCTTTTAAATCATATTTTTAGAATTAAATAGTATTCAACAGAATTAAAAAATTTGAATCATGTTGAATCCTTTTAAATCATATTTTTAGAATTAAATAGTATTCAACAGAATTAAAAAATTTGAATCATGTTGAATCCTTTTAAATCATATTTTTAGAATTAAATAGTATTCAACAGAATTAAAAAATTTGAATCATGTTGAATCCTTTTAAATCATATTTTTAGAATTAAATAGTATTCAACAGAATTAAAAAATTTGAATCATGTTGAATCCTTTTAAATCATATTTTCAGGATTGGATAGCATTCGTGAGGATATAAATTTTTTTAATTCTATCAAATTCCTTTTTTTAATCAGGGTAATAAAATATTAAAATATGTCTGATTCAAGGAATAATTTGTGTGTATGCTAATATATACTTACTTAGAAGTACATAAAAATAAATTTAATTTAAATTATTCATAGTGATTCAATAAGTCGCATAAATATTTGTTTTACTATAAAAATAATTAAAATATAAAATAAAATTTGTTTTGATTAGAGAATAATGAAGATGATCTTTCTTAATACAATTATTTTTTTTTTTTACATCGTAATTATTATTATGCAATCATCTTTTTATGATTAAGAAATGTATATATTACTTCAAACTCAAAATTAAATGAAATTTAATTATATGTAATTTTTTTTTTTCTGATATTTAAGCTGTAATCACATTATTTTATCATTTTATTTAGTAATTAGTCGCGTCATTGGCGTAAGCTTGGGTTTATTCGACTAAACCGTCTTAATGTGTAAAAATATGTCAGTTAAACTTAATAGATAAATAACTCAGTAATAATTTTATCAAGTTCAAAGTGCAGGGCAAAATTGAAACAAATGGTTTTATCATTATCCTGAAATTTATTCGGCAGAAATAAAAAACGTTGTAAAAGATTCATTATTTCTAAAGTCACGGTTGAAAACACAGATTTAGTATATATACGTAACTGTAGATAGGGGACAGGGCTCCTCCGATACACTACTGACGTAATAATAAAAATACAAAACATGTGTACGTTGTGTAATCTGTAATAATTGATATCAACAGTAATAAAATACTAAGAAAATGATCAAGAAATAACTAACATGGATTTAATTACCACTTAGAGATTTTTCTATTTATAATAAAATAATAACGATGCTAACAAGTTAAATATAATTTCTTTTACTAACTAGATCTCTTAAAATTTTTATAAAATAATATTTGAATAAAATGACAAATTTTTATTTATTTTTATTAATAAGTGCATTTATTTACGAAAATGTATCGGCTTCCACGGGCGACAGGTCCCAGTTTTATAGACAGTGTTTAATTGTTTGTTATTCCACTAGTTGTAAACACAGTAAGTAATAATAAAAGACTTTTTCTTTGTCATACTTAACTAGTAACTAAATTGTAATTTTTTTCTTTTGATTTAAGATGTTGAATTTGAAGTTGTTTCCTTTGAAGATGGTGGATTCTTATCCTGGTCATGCGAAGAAAACTGCCGGTATGATTGCATGTGGGAAACTGTTAATCATTTTGTTGATCACGGTCATCACGTACCACAGTTTCATGGCAAGGTATCATTTAATTAAGCCAATAGTCATAAGTAATAAGTCATAAGTAATAATTTATCATTGATAAAATAAGAAAAATTTTATGACAGCCGTATCCGGATGATAGATGAGTCTGTGTAATCTATATAATTAAGAGAATAAGAAAAATTTTATTTTTTTTATCTCCGGCGTATTTATATGATACAATGAGTTTTTTTAAATTAAATTTAGCATTATTGGAAAGGCCTTGATCTGAATTTGGGCCTTTTCAATGTATCATATGCTTTTTAGCAATAGTTAATTTATTATGATAAGTTTTCAAAGTAATTATAAGTAGATTTAAATTTCACTATACAAGTCATTTGTTTGTTTTGTACATATGAATGTCGTTATAGGTCAAAAATTAATTTATATAATTAAGAGACTAAGAAAAACTTTCTAACGGATAGATCTTCATCGTAAACTGAGTTTGATATTTTTTCAGTCACATTCATTTATGATTTAAATAATTAAGAGTAAGAAAAATTTTTTGACGAGCTTACTATTATTTTGAAAAGAATTTTTATAGTTAAATTTGGTATCATCAAAAAAGTCTTCACAAGAATTCGTGCCTTTTCACAGTTTTATATATTTTTCAGTGATAGTCTATTTTTTATGTTAAGATTTTGGAGCAGTTTTGAAAATTTTTTTGTCCCATAAATTTTTTCCGTCACATTTGTTGATTAAATTATTTTTCATTGATCCTGTCATAACACTATTATTTTTAAAATATACTTCAAAAATCCCCAAACTCTGTACTGTGTGATTATAAATATCGAAAAATCATTGAGCCAAAGTTTTCTTATTCATAATACGTAAATCTCAGCAGTCACATAGTGACTGCAGATGATGGCTAGTATGTAATATAAAGGGAAATATTTTTATTTAAATTGGTGGCTTACTTATATGGTTTCAAATACTTTTTGGAGATAGTTGTGTTAATATTATCAATGATAACTTGTAGAGTGAAACTGAAATTAGCAGACATCTGCTGTCATTTTTTGGATTTTTACAACAATTAAATTACTATGATGAAAACATTTTTTTTAAATATTATAACACTAACTTTTTGACACATCTACAAGTAGAATTTTTTATAATAATTTATTTATTGAAAAGAATCCTAAAAATCATCAGTAGTCAGCTAATATTTTAGAATCAACTTTAAGATTATACTATCTAAGTTCAAAGTATCTTAAAATTTTTTTTTATAGTTTTAACGTCTGCAAGTAATTTTTTAAATTAATTTTTGCAGTGGCCATTTATTAGAATGTTTGGATTCCAAGAACCAGCATCTGTAATATTTTCAATTCTTAATTTCTACGCTCACGTTATGATGTACCGAAAATTCCGCCGAGAAATAAAATCCTCTATGCCTATGTCTTTAGTATGGACTTATTTCACCGTTGTAAGTATAAATTATTTAATTTAATTTTTCAGGTATTTAATTATAATAAAAAAATCTTTAAGATTTGCCTGAATGCTTGGTTTTGGTCGGCAGTATTCCATGCAAGAGATAAACCATTCACTGAAGTAATGGATTACTCTTGTGCATTTACTATGGTGATAACTCTCCTCTTCTGTATGCTGACAAGAATATTACATAAAAACAATAAGATACTTGCTGTGATAACTTTTGGATATATTTGTATTCTCGTCACTCATTTGTCTCATCTGTGGTCTGGAAGCATTAATTATGGATATAATATGAAAATAAATATTTTTTTTGGTAACTATTTAAATTAAAACTAAAAAATCTTATCAATAAATACTGTGTTGAAAATTTATCTTGATACGTAATCGCTTAGATAAATATTTAAAATCAATTTAATAATTATGAACAAATTTAATTTTTTTTCAAATGAAAATAATCTACACTAACATTTTTTAAACATGAAGTCATCAAATATCAAATTCTAGTATTGAAACTAATTATGAATGTTTTGTTTTCTTCCACAGGGTTTTTGACGTTTCTTATCACGATGATTTGGTGGTATCGTAATTCTTCAAAACTTTCTCATTCTTATCTTATCGGCTGGTTTACGATCTTGACTGTGGCGGTTACTCTATTAGAAGTAGCTGATTTTCCACCGATATTTTGGACCCTTGATGCTCATGCCCTTTGGCATGCTTCTACCGCTCCGCTTGTTTATTTATTATACAAGTAAAAGTTTTACTTATATTTAAAAAGATAAAACAAAATAAATGTTAGTATAATTTTTTTCTTTTATATTTTAATACTTTATTATTGTTGCAGATTTATCATCTCAGACTGTCATTATTTAAGAAAGCAATATAGTTATCAGGTAATATCAGACATTCACATTGACTAATAAGTAGATTAAATAATAATAAATTTTTTTTTTTAAATAATAGAACATTTGTAGGTAGAAAATCAATAAAAACAATTTTATTTTTTAATATTTTTACAGTTATTTTTTTCTTCATTTTTTATTTATTTTTTTTTTTTTATCTAATAGATTTGTATCAAATAGAAGATACAGTTGATAAAAATTAAACATTTAATTTCTTTACATAAAATATATGTGAATAATTGTCAGGTGATTCCTTAAAAATATACAAGCTGTGATTAAGATCAATGGCCTCTCAACAAAAAAAAAAAAAAAAAAATAAACAACGTATATTTGATTTTAAGTGGCAAGACTCAAGAAAGTCTACATCTTTTAAAAATAATTGTATTCAATTATTGGTTTCAATTGTCAACGAATAAAAGTCATAAAAATCTTTAATAAAATTTGGCACTAACGATTAAAAATGACTTTTAAATGAACTTTAATAGTTAATAATTCATGCTTTAAAGTCTCAGGAAGACTATTGTTAATAATCGCTGATTAATAGTTTTATAAACATAAAGTTAAAGTTAATCGCATTTGAATAAATTTTAGAAAAAAGGAATGTTATTATTAACGATATCCAATTAAATACTGTAAAAAAAAAAGTTTAGTGATAATGAATTAATGAGTTATTAAAAGTTGTTGATAGTTAATTATTTAAGTACCAAATGCAGTTTTAATTTTTTTTTTCTTTTAAAAATTATTAACATGATTTAAAATGTCAACAATTTAACGTTTTTTTTTTTTTATTTCTTTCGAATCTAAATTAATAAAATTTTTGCCTATAATATTCTTATAATTCTAAAAAAATAATCTAGTAAAATTTTTTCATCGTTAATTCGAAATAATTTTAGTATCAAATTATTCAATATAACGCTGCCTTTAATAATTACCTATAATTAAAAATTTTTTTATAAAAATACTCTAGTACACTCACTAGATTGTTTTTTTGCTAAAAAATAAGACTAAGTGCCAATGTTATGTAACTTATATAACAAATGAAGGGTTGATGATTATGATTAAAAAACGATATTGAGGAAGATGTATAATTTTTTAAAAAATAATTTGTTTTTTAAACTATAAATATTTTGTATCAATAATCAATAGCCAGATGTACGGGAGTAGATTCGTTTATCATCAGTCTTTAGTGAAGAGACACTAAATCTATTGTTGTGTTAATAAAAAAAAATTATATCAAAAAACATTTAGCACCATTGAATCTTTGACAAGAAATAAAAATTTATACACTGACCCGTCCAGCACCCAGTGTTTTAAAACAATCGAATATTTATAAAACTCTCCCGTCAATATCGCCTCTATATTAAATATAAGTATATTCGTTATATCACTTAAATGCAAGGCATAATTATTAATTACTATAATTAATAATTAATCAGTTAATAAAGTTAAATTAAACCTCGAGTATAAATACATACGGCCACGTAAGTAACACAGAGATAATGCAGTCTTCCGAAGAACACTTGATGTTTAAATAATTCCACGAATTATAAATATAAATATATATATATATAAGTATAAAATGCAATTAAGATAGCTATTTTGTGCTACCTTATTTTTTTTTTTTGTTCACTGGAAGTTTTCACTTGGGATAATCTTCTCTTTTTAAAAAATTCTTTTTTTCCTTAAAATTAGTGTTTGAATAGCGCTTCGTGTTCTGGATTATCGTCTCTATGTTTTTCTAAGTTACCGGACAAAGTAGGATCGGGCCTACGTCTTTTAAAGAACCCTAGTTTCCATAAAATTAATGTCAGCAGTATTAGTAATAATAAACCAGCACAAATGGCGACAATTATTATCCAAATAGGCACCGGCTCACTGTCTTGTTGGTCGCCTAGATCTGGATACGCTATCGTTTCAGCCTATTTAACAAATAACGATTATTCAATTAATTAAACCTCACAATTACCATGAGCAATAAAATTATTAAAAAATATCTACCGTAGCATGGTCGTTTTTCAAATTTTCTTGCTGAATTTCAATGCTCGGTGGGATAACAATTTTTGCGTTTGAGCCTATTTTTACCTGGTCAACCTTCGGATAATCCTCGACAAGCGTTGAATTCCACAGTCTATTGACAGAAAAGAAAATAAAAAAAAAGGTGAGTCATAAATCAGCTGCTTGCATTTTAAATACTTGAGAGTCTTCACTCATTAAACAACAAATGTATGATGAATACACTGTTTAAAAATACATACCTTGCCTTCACAGTAATTGTCGCCTCTTGTTTACGTTGTAAGTTATAAATAATGCATCGAATATCAAAGCATTTAGCTGTTCCCGTTTTACAATTCTGCAGACAAAAATTATAGTTCTATTTCACTGCAATTTAAATAAAAAATAAATTAGATCAATATTTTGTAAATATACAAACCATAGAAACAATTTGACGTGAATGTCCATCGCGATCTGTCATCATCCTCGTACTAACGACCTTTTCAATATCCCGGCGGTCTCTGATGTGATTAATTGTCCGATTACGGTAATAATTAACCGGAGAGCTCGTGGTTGAAGGAAACGGATCCAAATCATCGTAACTAACACTGCCAAGCAACTTTAGTGGATTAACAACGTAACCAGTCGGTAAAATACACTCTCCATCCCCAGCGTGACTAACTGTCGGCATTTCTTCGAGATACAGTAGCCACTTACCGTGTTTTTTGTCATTAGCAACCTCGTAAGGCCATGAAATAACAACTTCAACGGTCCTTACTTTCCAGGGGCCTTCATTGAAGACTTCATACAAGTGCGAGACCTTAGGACCAACTTCATTCAAGTGTTTTATCGCAGACTCACCGACAATAGGACCTCCATAGTAAGCCCACTGTGTTTTGGCACTTCCTTTTATTGACAATTCTGCGCGCTTCAGTACGATTGCTTGCAAGCGTATTGGTTGCTTTTCTTGGACTTCTTTGGAAGTTGAATTAGCAAAAATTACGAAATTTAATTGCGGTTCATTGTCTTCAACTCCTTTTGGGTCAAATCTCACTTGAACATTAACAGCATTGTCTTTTCTAAATGGATTTCCAATTGAACAAATAACCAGAGTTGAATTGTGGAGATTACAAATAATAGACTCATTACTTTTGCTTGCAATATAATTAAGACTAGGTGAATGACTGATAAATAATTGCGCTTCGTAAGCTGACTCTCCAATATTTACTGCGCTTACGTCTACAACAACTTCTTCAACTTCACCTAACAATAATTCATAAAAGTTTGGCTTGACAACCGACGCTGATAAATTCAATTTTGCGTCGACTTGTAAATCACTTTCACATATTTCATTATCACCGCAATCTTTCTGGAACGTTGCTTCAAATATCCTCGCAGCCTCTTGTTGATTTAATATAGGATAATTATTTATATCAGGCAACGGATTGCCTTCACGTGGCATTACTGGCTCTTCTTGTATCAGCGTATAATTCAAACGGAATTTAATTGGCGATTGAATATCACGTGTATTCTCTTTCAAATAAACAATTTCACGTTGACAGTGCATAGATTTTGTCGGATCTAATGTTACCGTACGATTAATATAATGTGGTTTGTTTTTCCCGAATCCAAACCATACTCTAGAGAACTTTTTAACGCCTGAATAAGTTTCAGCTTCAATATGATAATTAAGTTTAAGATTTACCATACCTTCATTACGAGTTAATGATTCAGTTTTGCAACATGCTTCAAAAGCAAAGCACGTATGATTAGATGTTGGATCTGCTGAGCAGCCAATTTTATTTGGATCTACAGCTTCTATTTTTTCTTGATAAGTACCATCTTTACGAGCATAACGAACGGAAGTTGTAATATCAATTATTTTTCTAGCTCGAAGCAGAGCCACGGCGTCATTATCATAAGCACCGATTAATAAATCAGGGTAGCCGTTTTTATCCATATCAATTCCGCCGCTAAGTGAATAACCGAATGTACGTAAAGGTACAGGAGTATCCTCTGCATGTATAACTTGTGAAGGTGTCGTGATTATACCTGATTTAGATCCCAAATAAATGTACACAGTACCTTTACCCTCATAGGGTGCACCAATAGCAATATCTTCATATCCATCTTTATTTAAATCCCGTAAATTAGTCAACGCGAATCCAAATCGCGACTCTTCACGACCTACTAACTTAGTAGGTTTACATTTATCGCTATCTTTATTGTGTCTGCATAGCGAAGTGTATATATAGACAGCACCGCCTTCTGCTTTGTTGAAATAAAACGGAGCGGAGACAATCAAATCGGTATTTTTATCACCATTAACATCAGCAGCGGCAATTTCGTATCCGAAACTCGAAGCAAATTGTTCGCCGTTAAGAATAAGGGCGACATCCATGTCAGGACGAGAATGTTGGCGAGTTAAAATTACAACTTGTCCAGTTCCATTAGATCTTGGAGCACCGGAAGCGTATGCTAGACCTTTTCCAAAGAAGTTTCCAACAGTCACTGACATTCCCAAGTAACTGTATTTATTGACTGGTGATGCGTCTTGCATAGGTGCATTGTACACAGTGTTGTCACGCTGTAAAAATTCATCAGACACTGTGAAAACGTACATAGTACCTCGCCAAGTGTGTGGCCCAGGAGTCCCAATAACAACACGATCTTCTGGAGTTAAAATACCGCTCGTCCCAGCTTGGCAGTAACCAAATTGTTCGTGAGCTTTGCTGGTTGGTTTTCCGGAACATGGTTTTTTGATGTCATCGTATTTGAGGTCTTGGGTCAATATGTAGCACTGGCCTTGTCCCCATTGGGAGTCCGCAGTTTTTACAATATGCCGATGAGCGCATACCATAACTTTTCCACCAGCTCCTTGACTTCTGACAGTAACTCCGAGCCATTGCCCGTCTTTTATCTCATCGTTTCCGGGTGGTATCAGTTCGTCAGAGTCAACATCTGTGAAAAAATATACATTAGTATTTCATTCATTATTTTTAATTGTATATGCAAAATGAATGTTGCAAAGATGTAAATAAAAAAAAAAAAAATATAAATATATATTTTTTTTTATGTTGTTAGTTGTTATAATGTATTTGTTTTATTATGGCGATACTTTTCTTGCAGTCTCTTGCAGAATATGATGAATGACAATGATAAGATGATATAGCGCTTGAAATTATAAACATTCGTGTAAAATTAGCGTTAGTATTTTAATTAAAATAATTTAAGCCAAGCGAAATGCTGAGTAAATAAAATAAATTGATTAGCTTAATTAAATTATTTCAAATAATCAAGTTAATCTATACATTTTTATTATTATTTTAATAATACGAATTGCGTGCTATTAAAGCATATGCAAAATGCTATTCCATGCTAAGTTTTGTCTTTTTTTTTTTTACAGCTTTCATTTAATAAAAATGAGCATAGCAAATGCCCGTAAAAAATATAAAAAAAAAAAAAAAAGATAACAAAATAAATTGAATATTTATTTTCTTTTCATTCAAAGAATCTCCCATTGATTGACTTACTTGGATCAATTATACCGTCTTCAGCTGTTGAGAGACAATCATAAAAATTTATAAATATATTATTCATTGATAAAATATAATCATAAGTGATTATTTTTCCTCTACTACTTATGTAATATTAGTTATAAACAATCGTTATTTTACATAATTAAGTATAGTTAATTTAGCTTAATACATAAATATTATTGTGTAAAACTACCTACTATTACATTAATTAATAAGTTATTAATTATTATTATTAACAGTAATAAGAATAATAACTATAATATTAAATTATTATATATTACAGAAATAGTATACATATATTACGTAATATCTTTATGATATGATATAGAGTTACACCAATCATTCCCATTGTTAAATTGACATCTGTTTATTAATAGACTAGCGTTTAATATTTAATATTTTATTATTATTAATTTATTCAATTTATTCTTTAACCCTTTAACGAATACATTTTTATTTTTATCTTTATTTACATTTGTTATCGTACATCAAATAAAATACGTATATTTATTATTTAAAAACTTATATATTTTTTATGATCCGTTAAAAAGTTAAGAATTTTAAGGGATAGATAAATTTAAATACTTACTAAGCCTGCCGTCCGTAATAACTTGCTCACAATCATTTGTTTTAGTAGTCAATGGACACTGCCATAATGCCCCAGATCTGTTTGTACCAGGTTGTCTATTTTGATCCAAAGGTGCGCCAACTAGAATCCTAAAAATTTTAACAAACTGTTACGTACAAATAATAATAAATAATTCAAAAGATAAATTAATTAATTAATTAAGAAGTCAATGGAACTATGGCTTAAAAAGTTCTTCAGAAACATAAAATATGACCTAAATTAACAAATTTAAATAAATTAAAATACTTAAAAGATGACTAAGACATTTATCTATCCATCGTGTATAACCGCAGTAATCCGAGAAATGTTTTTACAACGAAATATTTACACAGAGTATGAACGAACCAGTCATCTTCTATCGCATCATCATAGTAAATTAATAATAATAAATGCTGTCTTGTTCTTATTCATTTATCCAATGGATTACTCTCAACTCTCTACTCTTTCATCCTCACAATCTAAATCTAAAACCAGTCACGGCATATGCATTCAGTTATCTCATTCAAACTCCCACTCTCACAATGGGGAACCATGAACCCGATATGATAACATCACTCAATTTGTTCACCGTTTGGTTTTTTAAAAACTAGGCACGCGTCTGTTATCAACCAGCCTGAAAAAAAAAAAAAACTAAAGCTCTTATAAATAAAATTGAAATAAAAAATAATATGAAAAGCAATTAAACTTACCAGCTTATTGATTTGTTATCATCCTCAAGTATTTCTTGGTGCTCTGCTACCGAGTACCCAAAATAAGAATCGCTCCGTCCACGTTTGATAACAGGTATCCTCCACTCAAGATTGAAACCCAACGCTCCGTAGATCAGCACAAAAATAATCCACGGTAGCTTCATCTTTCTTCACACGCTGATTAATTACAACTATATCTACAATGGTAATATTAATAATAATAATAATATTTATTAACAGTTAAAAAACAATAAAACTAATCACAAAGCAGTGGATAATTTTTTTTTGGCTATCATAAGTCTGAAGAATTATGTCGACGTCAACAAACGACTTGTTATATCTCCAGGTGACACTAAAATACTGGAGGATAAATTGTAAGCGAGAAAATACGCCCACGCACTCTCACGATCCGGCATCGACTGGCGTCTACAGAAACTCTTCCTCTTCTCTCTCGTGCTTGTACAATTGTTGCTAGTCAGCTAGCTCATTGATATCAGACCAACTGGTCTCTGGTAGAAAAGAGAGAGCTAAATAATCACTGGATCATTTTATTCTTGAGAGCGTCCACACCCACGCACACCCTCACCACAATAAAAAATAAAATTTTAAATCTTCAATAAATCCAACGCTTTCTCTCGCAAGTGGTAAGTTTTTAGCGTGAAAAATCCGAAAGACCCTGAGAGTCTTGACTCCACTGGCAACTGTCTCTTTCTTTGGAGCTCTCTCTCCAATCTCTCCATCATCCACCATCTCCATCAGGGACAAAAATCATCTAGGGTCCCGCGGAGTTATGGTCTTAATTTTAACTGAAATAGTTCCCGCTAGAGTTTAATTCGTCATGCGCAGTCATCTCCGAGGTCCAAGCAACAGCAGGTACTTGGATAGGAGAAGCAAGCGAGAAAAAAAAATTTTGGTCACATCAGGGGTCAGGTGGATTGTTGAGAATACGGAGTGCAGAGTGGAGCGAGAGCGAGAGCGAGAGCCGTTGGGGTTCGAGCCAATGTTCATTGACGTGCGTCAGCTGTGAGCGGGTTGACGTCGCGTCGCAACAGCAGAGGCATCGCAGATGTCTCAGTTATTTAATGACACTTGTCTCCGACGAATTATTTTAACAATGTGATCTCTTGAGGATGTAAACACCGGAGGCGGCTAAACGAAAACAAGAAGGATCGCGATCATGTAAGTTCACCTATTTATATTTTTTATTTTCAATTATTTGTGATGGTAATAATAATAATAATAATAATAATAGTTATATTAACTGTCAAGATGTGTGATGTTGATCTCAATACATCTGTATGCGGCAACTAATGTTATAGCTATAAGTTTTTGTATATTTATACTTGGATACTTACTGATGTTTGTTTGATTTTTTTTCAGGTTTTATATGATGATGAGAATTAATTTCAAGACGATCCTTCTTGTATTGATCGTCGCCGTAATTAGTTCTATATTTACGTCATGGAATAACTGCGGAAGTAGTATTCTTATCAGAACGGCTGAGTGGAAGACTCGTAGGGTGAGTCTATTTATTTTCTTCATCCCTTATCTTTTCACATATATACTCGACCTATTTTTGTCGGATATAATCCAGTGATTAATTAATCTTGATCGCTATATATTTGCTTTTAATTTTATTTTATTCACTTGTATCTATATGGGTATGCTCTTTATTTATATAGGATCGCCTGGCTAATAGCGAGCTCGGATATCAAGAGATTGATTGTAATATTAATGGAGAATATTTAATTGGATGTAGGAGAGAGGGAGATGAAGTTTACATTCCTTTTTCATTTATTCACAAGTATTTTGAGGTATCATTTTTTTTTTTTTATTTATTGACATTGCATTCTTGATAAAGTGGATCCAAAAAGTCGACAAATTTTTCTTTTTGAGTGGTCTCAAAACTTTTTATTCAAATAGCGTAGAAGCAAATTCTTTTAATCTTTGGAATTTTTTACTTCGTCTTATAAACAATGGACAGGAAAAAACAATACATTTTTTTTGTAAAGAATTGAACGGTTTAAAGAAAAGGTCTTTTATAATTTTTCGATAAATTCAGTCTTTCACAAATTATTCAAGGTTTAAGTTAGACGAGTCTTAAATTTTAAGTTATTCTTTTTTCTATGGTAAAATTATTACTTAGATAAAAATTTGAAATCTTTTGAAAAAAAAATTTCAACTAATAAATAGTATGGCTGTGTTGATGTTTATAATTTCAACTTATAAATTTTTAAGTTTAAACGTGACTACTGGGCTTGTGTGCAACTTGGTATACGGTCTCATGATTTTTTTTTTATGAAAACAAAAGTTTAACGAACGCCGTTCGATAAATGCTTTTCATTATTAAGTCGTTTGTTTATATGACGTCGTCACGAACTGCGCTTTGTATATTTAAATTAAATAGCCGTCTAAAATTTTCAGTGAATAATTTAAATTATAAATTTTTTTTTATGTATTTAGAAAAAAAAAATTGTCGATTTTTTCTTTACATTCTTATACTCATCAAAGAATACTTTTCCTAAGGCTTTCAGGATTTCGTATAAAAATATGTTGTTTTTTTTAAATACTTAAAATGATTAAAATTTTTATTTTTTTCCAATATCTAAAAATCATTTTATGAAATTCAAAGTTGAATCTAATATTTTCAACACTCAAGTGGTTTATAAATAGACCAAACGATGATCTTAAAAAAAAATAACATTGATATTTTTTACGCGCTATTCGAATGCAGCTAACTCGATTTATTTCTAACTTTTTGAAGCTTAGGAACACTTCAAGGGAAGTAAAATTTTATGGTCCCATTACACCTTCGGATCATAAACGGGTTCTGAATTTTTATGATACTGAAAATAGCAGACAATTGTTATTTTTATATACTAATTTCGTATTATTAGAAAGGACTATTCAAAAAAATGCACCTACAGATTTTTAATGTTCTTTCCGTGTATTATTTTAGGTCTCGTTATTATTAACATTTATATTGTTTCTATATGAAACATTTCAAATAATAAAACATTTTTTTCAACAATAATTATAGAAATTAGAAAACTGCTTATAAATTTAGAATTCCGAGAGTTTATTCCTAATTTTAAATAATAAAAAAAATTATCCAGAATATATGATATTTCTTAAGAATTCTATATAATGACTCGTTCAGCTCAAATAAGATTATTTTTCAATCTGAAGCCATAAAAATATTGTATCTATACATCATCTTGTATAAATAAATAAAATTTTTATCAATATAACTCTTAGTTCAATAGTTGCTCACTCGCGTCAAGTAGTGGGTGTGTTTCATTATCATAAAAAAGTCAGAGGTATTTTTTTTTCTTCAATATAACGATACTAAAATCAAATCCCTATATTCACTTTATCGTACGGATATATTTTTTTAGAATTTTTTTTTTTTCATCCTCGAAACAATAAATATTTACATTACAATCGAAATTCGATATAACTATAAATATAAATAAAATTATATCATGATCCTTAATATATTTTTGAATAAAAAAATAAAAATGACCTAAATTTTTCTTAAAATTTTAATTTTATTAATAAATTAAAAAAATTATACGAAATCCTAGAGTTATTGGAAATGTTATATTATGTATTTAACCGTAATTAAATATTTATTGATTTTTTATTTAGGTATATGGTAAATTAGCTACGTACGATGGATTGGAAAGATTCGAATGGTTGCACAGTTATTCAAAAATAGTAAGACCAAAATCAAAATATGATCCACGCGGAGTTTTTATGACATTTGAAAACTACAATGTTGAGGTACGTGAGCGCGTAAAATGCGTCAGTGGAAGCGACGGTGTTCCAATGTCGACACAATGGGAGAGTCAGGGTTACTACTATCCGACGCAAATAGCGCAATTCGGTTTGTCGCATTACAGCAAAAATTTAACAGAGCCAGAGCCACATCGCAAGATAATCGAGGACGCTGATAAAGTTCAACAGGCATGGATAGTGCCGCAAGGCTCAGTAATGTCAAGAAATTACGACGTGCAGTCGAACAGTTATGTCTTGAGATTTGGCACACCGGAGACAAGTACTTCGGGAATTTCAATAACGTTAGATCACGTGCTGTCGTTTGTCCTGAAGCTGGATCTGATAATAAAGGACAATGGCAGCGTGACGGTAGTGATGCAGCACCGAGAACGGAAGGATTCTTACTACCTTCATTATACTACCAGCAATATTGTCCTCAATACATTGAATAATCACATTTATTATGGGATTGGAGTGAGTAATAGTCAGTGGCGTCGAATAACCCGAGATTTAGTAGTTGATTTACAAAAAGGGTTGAGTATTAACGAGAAGGGGAAGAAAAAACTGTCGAGATCGAAGTTAAAGATAATAAAAATAATTTTGTATGGTTCAGGAAAAATAGACAATATGACTTTGTCGACGAGCGAGCATATGGAGCAATTTTACGATGCAGCGCGTTGGTTTGTTGCTAATCAGAATGTGACATCAGGCGGGTGGCCAAATCCCGTAAGGAGAAAAGTTGCCAGCAGCATGGAAATTTTAGAGCCCGGATGGTACTCGGCTATGGGTCAAGGACATGCTATTTCAGTCCTAGCTAGAGCTTATTATCACTCTGGAGATGAGAGGTACTTACAGGCAGCTGTCAGAGGTTTAAAGCCATTTAAAATAACATCTTCGAAAGGTGGAGTGGCTGCTTATTTTATGGATAAATTTGTCTGGTACGAAGAATATCCAACCACACCGTCTTCATTTATATTGAATGGTTTTATTTATTCGCTTATTGGTCTTTATGATCTCAAGTGTATTGCTACAGGCAGAGACGCCGATGAGGCCACTGAGTTGTTTGATAATGGTATGATATCGTTGAAAAATATGCTTACATTATTTGACACCGGTTCTGGCACGACTTATGATTTAAGACACTATACGTTAAAGAGCGCGCCCAATTTAGCGCGTTGGGACTATCATTCCACGCACATTAACCAGCTGTTACTTTTGAATACTATTGATACTGATCAAATTTTTATGATAACTGCTGAAAGGTGGATAGGCTACATGAATGGTAAAAGAGCAGCGCATAATTAATTTTTTTACTATGAAATTTTTCCAACGATAACTTAAATATTTAAAGGTACTTTTAGGCAGTAACTCCTATTTTTTTTTTTTTTTAGATTAAAATGGTCATACAGTTTTATCAATAAATTTGAACAAAAAAATTCAAAAAAGCACTGTTCGGTTGACAATAAAATAAGAGATTTACAATAAATTCTAGGCAGTTAAAAAAAAAAAATAAAAGCATTAGCTTTATTCCTTTTATTTATAATAAAAACTCTGAAAGATATTGAAAATTTATGAACAATTTTAATATTTCATGCCACTTGTGTAAAGTTATTAATTTTTTGTTTAGAAAAAAATTTAACTACACAGAAATTGAATTTATTCAGTAATTACTCAATCAAAAGAAATATATACACAGTTCCGATTGAATTCTGCTTGAATGTGAATAAAAAAAAAATTACGGTTATTCAAATTGGTGAATAAAATGTGACCATAAATTTTTTAATCTCAAATGATTTATTAGCTTATTCATCATTGGAGGTAATTACTTTTTATTTATGTTCCAGCGAAATCGCAACTACTTTATTTTCTCGTTTAACTGTTCAATAAATAATATTGAAATTGTGATTTAAATACTTAAAAAAATGGGGGGCACTGTCTAAAAGTAACCATAGTAACATAATAACTTTTTAGAGCTTGAATTTTTACCATTTTCTACTTTTCACGTTAGAGTAATTTTACATTCAACAATCTTGACATCCTTATAGTCTACCTCCCGTCTTTTTATTAATCGATCGAGAGGGAATTAATATATGAATAAAAATTACGTTAATAACGTAAAAAAGTTTATATTGACGAAAAAATAAAACGGTGACGCCGTTTAGTGCCAGAATTTTTTTCTAAATTAACTCGAGTAAGGGTTTTTTCCATGTATAATAATTTATTTGTCTTCTCAACCAGAGAATTATTCCTTGTGAGATAAAAAACAATCGTTTTGTAATTTATTGATATTAAAATTAAGAAATTGTGAGTTTTATTAAACTCGAAAATTTTTAAATCCTTAACAGCAACTATTTGTAATGCTTTAGTTAATTAGGGTATAATTAAAATTAACAAATAAATAAGAGAAGAAAGAAGTAAGTTAGATTGTAACAGGGTAGATATTTGTAATGGTGATAATAGTAATGGAATATTTTTTTAGTAAAAAATGAAAATAAAAAAAAAAGACACGAGCTCTTGAGATAATTTATTAAAGTGAATATTTGTTTATATGAGCTCGGAATAATTATGAACTGAACATTCCGTTTTGTAAAATAGCGTATTTTTAATTTAATCATAATGTTTAAACTAAAAAAAAAAAAATTAGTGTATTTAAATATCAATCGTAAATAGTGTCAATACAATGATATGTAAAAATTTGATGATCATTCATTAGATTTTTAATGACAGTTTGTCTCAGGATTAAAAAAAAACTTAAGCTCAATTGAATGAGCAACTGGTTTGTAATTATGTAGATAGGTAAATAAATACTCGTACGACAATATAAAAATTTATAAAAAAATTTCACGAGGTGTCAAGGACTAAAGGAACAATTGAATTCTTTTGTCAAAAAATTGTACTTGGTATTTATAAAAGCTTGTTTAAAAAAAAAAAAAAAAAAAATTAAAAAAAACAATTTGTACTAGCTTCGTACGATAAAATAATATATTTAGAATGCTTACTTCTGAAAAAATAAAGATACATATATATATATATGACAAATATACTTTTTCATGAAGTCCTGTAGAAAACGAGCTACTTAAAAAAATACTTGTCAATACAAAGATTTAGTGCTATCATAGATATCCTGAGAGGCTCTTAATAAAACAAATAATTGATGAGATCTACTTTATATAGCAGAAACTGAGCCTTGTAAATTGTAAATTATACGCTTAGCTAAATTAATAATAAAGGAAGCTTCAATGTAGTTTATTAAATGCCAACTTAGATATATGATTAAATAATGTCAATAAAACATCTCACAAATCTGTCTGATTATTTTCGCTACTAAAAAATATATATACATATATTATAAAAAAAATATATATATATGTGTATACATAAAAGACAGTTTAATAAAAACAAAATCGCTCATACTCAAATGAGAGTGCAAAATAGATGATAATTTATAATGTTATTATTTATAATTTATTAACTGTAATAGTTGAGATGAAATGAAATATTTTTTTTTTAAATAAAAAATAAAAAATTTTTCTTCAAATCTTGTCATTACTTTATTGCTAATAGTACAACGACCTGTCAATTTTATTTTTGTTAGGTATTTTGAGCCCGATGAGGGTCGAAGATAACGAGGGAGAGTGACAAAGGATATTTCAAGCCACCACCTTCCTATTGATTTTCAATTATCGGACTTGGTAATATCGGTTACTGTTGAATAAATATAAGTCCTGATTGATAATAATTTAAGTATATTGAAGAATTTTTTTTACATTTATTTTTCTAGTCTAACAGTTTTTATACACGGTTTCCCGTGACGCCGATGAGCTTCATTAATAAAAGCATTTTCCATTTGACGGACTATTTCATTAAAGACCAAATTCGACAAATGAGAATGTAGTAGAGATTTAAATTCAAATGACAATGAAAAATCAATGACACATGTATTTGAATTATTTTTCAGTCCAGGGCTAAAAATCCAAAGCGTATTCAGATGATTGAATAATTTACCGTCTTTGCATTCAGCTTTTACAAAATACGGTCGGTGCATCGTCACACATGACGTATAGTTCTCGTTTAATAGCGGTGGAAATCCGATAACCAAATTGGCACGTAAACTGTCCTCGGAGCGAGAATACACCTCGGATTTTTTACAAAATGGCAAAAAATTTTTGTACTTTTGTACGTCTGCAACCACGTCAAATATTTGTTCCATTGAAAACCTAGAATATATATAATTTTTTCTTAGATTATATTATTCAATAGGGTAAATGTTCAAGTAGTTAACCGGGCACCAGTCGTTGACGACTTGGATAAAAAAGTCCAAAAATTGTTATCAGCTGCATTTGTTATGACCTTGAAATTTATTTTTAATTATTATTAAACTTATAGTCTTATTATAATGAATAGGTATTGCAAATATTATTTAATTTTTGGAACATCAAAAATAATTCATGAAAATTTCTCACAGCATGATCTGAATAAAATCGGTCAATTACTATAGTAGAGTATCCGAGAGATGAGTACATCTCTTTTGTTAACAAAAAGTTCTTATTAGGTTAATCTTATTGAATTAAACTTTGAAGTAGTCTTTAATAGTTTCTTAACAAATATTAATAAATTTATGCAAAAATAATCAAATAAATACCAATTTAATCACCGGTCAGACACTAGTACAATAAAAACACCATTGTACCATCAATAAATGACTTCGATCATCTATTAGAACCCGCTATTTTTCAAAATACCAGTAGTTGACCGCATTTACAGTTGTCAGTTTCTAACTTATATAAAATAAAAGTATAAATATGTTTACGTGATAATTTATGTTCACATGAATGTTGTTATTTAAAATAATTTATAATTATTAAATTAATAATAATAAAAAAATATTTATACCTAGTGTTTAATGTGTTTTAAATAAGATGACTGCTGAGTTAAGTTTACATTTGTAATAAATTTAAATATGAATTTTTATTGTTGTCATTGGAAATAATAGACATAAATTTACAGTAATTAATGGTTTATTTTAAACAATAGCCATTATTTTTGTTCTTAACTAACCGAATTTTGTTTACTGATAATACAAATCTAATTTAAATAAATTAGTATAAAAACTTAGTATATACACTAAACATAAAAAATTAATTAAAGTTTAAAAAATAACCAATCTTCTATAATCGGTCAACTACTCTGGATCAAACCGGTCAACTACTGGTGTTTTTATTTTACTTGCATTTAAATGAGAATTTATATATAATTTTATTAATAATTCAAATAAATAACATCACATATCAAAAACTTAAATATTTAAAGTTTAAATAAACTTTAAATTATTTTCTTTTAACATATAATAATTAAATTACGATCAATTGAAATGCTAAAAATTCTTAATCGGTCAACCCCTGGTACATTTACCCTATATAAAATAATAATAATAATAATTACTCACCCAATTAATTTTCGACCTTCATATTCTTTGGTTCGGTCTTTATCCCATGTCGAATATAAATTTTTAAAATCCAGTCGATGACGTTTCACACAATTAAATAAATTCTTGTTAAAAAAAATAGACCTGTAACTAAAAACAAATAAATTAATTAACAATTAATTTTTTCCCGCCACTTGTTTAAAAACTGACAATTGCCAATATTTAAAAATGCAATTATAACCTTTTGCCCCTCGTATAAAAATGATGAAATAAATAAAACTCACCTATACATTTTGTAAATAAATAATCTTCTATAGTAATATTTACAATTAAAAAAATAAATCAGCTATCTAAAATGTCACGATATTTTTTTTTTAACTTTTTTCCATTGGATTGACATGACATTCATATTTTTTATAAATAATTCTTTCTATAAATAAATAGTCCGTTTGTGTCATCACAATGGTCTACTTACAAAATTTACCTTCAACAATTTACGCATTTAAATTCATTTAAATCACGAGACAAACCTACGACAATTTATTAATATATATTTAAACAATAATAAATTATAACTATACTTATTTGATAAAATATATACTTTATTTGTACAGTTGGTACTGACGTGAATAGTATAGTCTCTGGCTCTACAGTCAGTGTGTGTTTTTTTTTTATTATATAACCCCGTTTTTAGTTAGTGCTCATAATTACAAGTGTTCTTCACAAAACAATTTTTAAAAAATGGCAAAGATCGTGCCTGCTTGTCGAAACGCCTTCCAACAGGTAAGATTATTCCCTTAAATAAATTATTTATTTTTCTATTTACTCTTAAAAAGCATTTTTACTTTTTGTTTTAGAAAAGTAAATAATTCCGCATTGACAATTGATTATTAGGTGCTCTGACAGATGATTATTTATTTTCTTTATCATTTTGATATTTATCGTAATTTAAGTTATCACGAAATCATTCAATCCTAATTAACTGATTAATTGATTATGTTTACATAGATAAGCCGGAAGGAATGGATATATACATTAATGTCAAGGTTCACATAAATAATTAAGATATTTTCATAACATCATGAAATATTGTAGTTTTGTAATAAATTATTTAAATAATTTTTGAATTTTTAATAAGAATTATTTTTTTTTACATTCAAATAAATTTTTCAAGATTTAATTCAAAAAATAAATTACATTATAAATAAATAGAAATTATATTAAATAAATAAATAAATTATATTATATTAAATTAGTATGACTATCAATAATTAAAACGGAGAAAGTCACGTTATATTTTAATAGTCTGTACAGTTATCAGAGAAATTTTATTTTTTATTTTCTAAAGTTGGAATTATCAGAAACTAGGTCACTAGTAACCAACTCTTTATATTATCTTAAATTTTATTTAATATCTAATGACTGTTTTTTTTTTTTTTTTTAAGGTCCGATCATTTCACGTGGCAAGTAGTCAAAATGCAGAGGCCAAATTGAAGACGTTTTCGATCTACCGATGGAATCCAGACAAACCTGATGAGAAACCATACATGCAAGACTACAAAGTCGATTTGAATACTTGCGGGCCTATGGTTTTGGACGCACTGATTAAAATAAAAAATGAAATTGACCCTTCATTGACATTTCGCCGATCATGCCGAGAAGGAATTTGTGGATCATGTGCAATGAACATCGGAGGAACTAATACACTGGCTTGTATTAGTAAGATTGATGACAAAAATTTGACAGAAACCAGCAAAATTTACCCGTTGCCGCATATGTACATTGTTAAGGATTTAGTACCGGATATGAACAATTTCTATAGCCAGTACAAGAGTATCCAGCCCTGGCTTCAGAGGGATGATGGAAAGAAAGTTGGAACTCAGCAGTATTTGCAGAGTGTTGAAGACCGTAAAAAATTAGTCAGTTTCTAATTAATATCTTTGTGGAAGTATTTTTAAATGACAAAAATTTATTAATGATTTATTTTTTATAGGATGGTCTCTACGAATGCATTTTATGTGCATGTTGCAGTACTTCTTGTCCATCTTACTGGTGGAATGCTGATAAATATCTTGGACCAGCTGTTTTGATGCAGGTAAATAGTAATAACAATAATAATAATAATAATAATAATAACTAGTAACCTTGCAGTCACTATGTAACTGCCATGACTTGTGAACTATAAATAGATAAAATTTTGCTGTATTAAATAATGACTTTTGTTAAATTGCACTGTACTTTTTTAACTATTGACGTTTTTGAAGATATAAGCTCATCTCGATGTTACACTCATTAAAAGATTTCATTTGAGTACCCACATGCATTTTCATATATTTATATATATTACATATATGTATATATGAAAAATATATCAAAATGCATGTGGGTACTCAAATGAAAACTCTTGATGAGTGTAACATCGGGATGAGCTTATATCTTTAAAAATGTCAATAGTTAAGACAGTACAGTGCAATTTAACTAAATTCATTATTTCATAAAGCAATATTTAATTTTTTGACCTTGTGTCTTGTAAACTATTGAGATTTTTAAAGATATAAGCTCACCCCGACATTACACTCATTGATACCTTTCATTTGAATACCCACATCAATTTTTCATATATTTTATATATTTATGTATATTATATATATGTATATATATGAAAAATATATAAAAAATGCATGTGGGTACTCAAATGAAAGCTCTTGATGAGTGTAACATCGGGATGAGCTTATATCTTTAAAAACGTCAATAGTTAAGAAAGTAAAGTGCAATTTAACAAAAGCCATCATAATAATAAGGTCTTGTAATAACTAATTGTTAGGAAAGAAAAAAAAGAAATGCAAGAAAGTCTGTTATAGTATTTAGACAGAACAAATCCACGTTGTCGTTGATCCTGAACAGCGGTCTTGACAGAAACAATGTAGCCATACTTTTTTCTCATTTATATCATCATTTATATTATATCAAGTTGGTTGGAATGGTATTTCGAGTAAATCTTCTCAGCCGCGAGTGATTTATTCCACTAAAAATACTTTCCAACCGTGGATAGACCATTGTACCAAAGAATAATGTTTTTTTGAGCTGCCTAAAGAGCTTCGATGCGTATGAATAATAATTTCTTCTGGCTCTACTCCATGAATGGGCTGATCATCGATGATATTTATATGCTCAGATTTGATTTTTTTTCTCTGAGGAATAAACGATTATTTTAAAAATTTATTTAATAAATCTAAGCTCTTTATTATTATATTTTCTTCACCCTTTTTTATCGAAATCAATCTACAATATGATGTAATTTTCATTCCTTGTTGTAATAAAAAATTAATTTTCAAAAAATTAATTATTTATTACAACACTGGTCATATTTTTCAAAATAAATTTTTTCTCTCAGCGAATATTATGTGTTTAACATTTTAACAAGTGAAAGTATAGCAAATCTAATTTTTAGTCACCCAACTATTAACATAAATAAGATACTTTTATATACTTCCATTCGTATGCAAATTAATATAATATATACTCTAATTTTATTTTTATGCATTCGTTTCAAATAAAATTATTTTACGATCAGGACTTTTATTTTACCACTTTATATTTATATGGTTCAATTAATTGGTCATATTATTATTATTATTTTATATACAGTTATATAAATTTTTTTGCGATCAATATTTTCGATGAAAATTTTTAAATCAATGAAAGATTATTAAAGAAACTATCAAAAATATATTACACTACACGGAAAGAACAAGATTATACTGGATATAATCCCAGATTATACTGAGTGAAAAAAATTTTCAGATATTAGCTAGTATAATCCAGATAACAATGAGTATAATCCAGATTGCAATGAGTATAATCCAGATATTATTCAGTATAATCTGGATTATACTAGTTACCATCTGAAATTTTTTTTCGCCTCAGATGTCACTGAGTATAATCTGAGATGGTATCCAGTGTCATCTTGTTCTTTCCGTGTACTTCAAAATACAAAATCATTAAATGAAAATATTTAATTTTATAATTTGGAGTCAAATAGAGATTAATTGTTTTTGTTTTTTGTTTATTATTTATTGTTAAAAGAGTACAATAAATATTAAGTGATGAATTCAGTTAACTTAATATATTTGAGGTATTTAATTTATTACTCCTTTAATCTCGGAACGCTACTTCTGTACTGTATCTAAAAATAATTAACGACATTTCTCAACGATATACTTGTTATTATAGGAGACAAAATATCTTTGTCAAAATACAATTAGGATGTCATTTGTTAGAAACATAAATTTTGCACGAATTATTATTATTATTTTTAAATTTAATAACAAAAATGTCGTAAACATGTAACAAATATACGAAATTATTTTTTTTTATCAACATCTTAATATATATATATATATATATTGTACGCGTTGGGGAAGTTAATCTTTAACAAAGTAGGATATAAATTTCATCCCAAGTGATTAAGTTATAAATCAGTGTACTATAATTAAGAGACAACGGATTTATAAAATCAAACAGTCAATTAAACTGGTATTAAACATTTTTCATTATTTCCTGTTTCAATTTTTGTATAATTACAAACAATTCCAAGAGCGACTTTCAAAGGATTGATTGTCATGTTATTAACTTGGACTAAAAAAGTGCAATGTTCTTTTTTACTGTTAAACTGGGAGTAATATTGTCATAATTCAATATTGCAAGTAATTTCCGGAAATATTTAATATTGCAAGCAATAATCGTTTGATGCAATAGTGTAATATCCGCAGAAGCATTAACGCTTTATTTGACCCAGTTCTTAAACGGTTTTCTGATAGACAATAAGACAATACTATAGTTATTATTATATCCAAGTTATTTTAATTGCACATCTTAAACGCGAAGGGTTGTGTGCTCGTATTGCACTCATATCAATACAATCATCTTAATACTTTTATTTAGCACCCGAGAAGGACAATTTAAAGTAATTACACCATTGAAGAGAAATATTCTTGACCCGAAAATAAAATTGTTTTTAAGAGAATCGTTTGTCTATTCAAGAATTTCTTTCCTTGAAATATTCGGCTTCTTGGTTTGGAAAATTCGGAATTTTCGATCAAAAGTATGTTATCTTCGTGAGATACATCCAAATTCGACATTGAACAAACATTAGTTTTCATAACTAACAATTACTTTGTTCTCTTCTAGAAGATTTGTATTCTCGGGTCAAGAACAAGTTTCTTCATTAAAAATACCATTAAACTCTTTATAAGATCAAATTTTCTACTTAACGTAGTTCCAGCGTGGTATAGTATAGTCAGAGCATTTACTATGGACAAAAATTTAAAAGCCTCGGCACACAGACGTTCACACATACAATTACATATTGTTAGTCCAGTGATCTGGCAACGTTGCTCTTACAAATAAAATTTTTCTGAATTAAATACTAGAGTATTTTCCTTGAAACAATTTTATTACATTTAAAAAAGAAAATTTAAAACTCTCTTTAATTGGTAACAAAGTAAATATTTGATAAAAAAAACACATATTATCACTGTTAATGTGTGTAAATAAATCTCTTGAGTGTAAATAGACTTTTAAGTTTGTTTGTTAAAAAACTCTCGGTCCTTGGTTTTTCTTTCAATTTAAGAGCTTTTACTCGAGCACTTAAAAATCTAACAAAAAAGACAATCCGTGCTTCCGTTTGTTGAAAAATAAAGTAAGATCTTAACAGTTTTTTTTTTTTAATTCCATCAATTACAATCACTTAAGCATCAAGTTAACTGAAACTCTGGCTCTAATAATTCTGTAGAATGCTTTGAAACCGACAACGACAATAACTGACGTGTAGCAAAATGCTACTTGACAATACAGGGCTTATCTGAGAGGACATGAGTGGCAATGCACAAAATAGTGTGTAAAATTTAATAGAAGACGTGTATTATTATTAAGTCAGTAGAAATAAGTTAAATAAGAGTAGAAGTAAGTAAAAAAAAAAACGTGGAAGGTATAGTAATATAGATCTATGTAATATATGTGTAAAGGAAGAGACGGAAAATTGTTAGGATGCGCGATAATGGATGCTGGCATTCCTCCAAAACCCGACCGCCTAAACTAGCTTTTTTTCTTCATTTCATCAAGAAATTATATTCTCAAATTACAATTCTGATTCGATGTTTTGTCTGTAAATTATAATATTTATTTTTTCGGGTTAATTTATTTATATTATAAATTTTTATCAAACGATAAAATCATATAAAAATAAAAATTTTTATTATAATTTTAATAGAATTGATACAATTATTTTTTATGTCGATTTTTTTAATGACTTTTCGGGGAAATTTAGTGAGTTTGCTTCGAAGCAACAGGTATGGACTCTAGTTTCGTATAAATATGTCTCCCTCGGGGAAATCCGGTCAATAAATTATAACTTTTTGGTGTAAGTTTCGGAAAAGCTGTTTTTATAATTAATTGATGTAATTTATTGTCAAAATTTTGAATCAATATCCCGGAAAAGGAAAATTGATCGGAAAAAAAACGTTGTTTAATTTAGAAAAATAATTAGTTAAAAATTATATTTTTACTTCGAGATTTTTTGTTTGAATAAATTTAAGAAATTAAAACACTTTGCGGTTATCAAACGAATTTTAACAAAAAATATTGAATTTTATTTCGAGAAGTGTCTAAAACAATTTTTTTTGATAAAAATCCAATTAGAATTTACTCAAGATACTCTAAAAAATTCAAAAAAGCTAAAAAAGATAATTTAGAGCAAAATTTTGTAGTCTAATAGATAATTTTTCCAAAAAAGTGAAAAAACCTCAAATTTTTCATAGTTCCAACTTAGACCTTAAGTAACTTTTGAAGGAGCAGGTCTATCGAAATGCTGCTAATGACCTTTCTTGTACAACGTTCAAATTCCCTGTAAGAATATGTTCTATTGTCACCAGTATGACAATCCATTAATGAGTTACAAGATTCTAAAATAAAAACAACAATTTTTTAATATTATTCGTAGACTGAAAAAAAAATGACTTGGTTCTCGAAAAATATTATCTTGAAAATTGAACTCTTGCTTCGAGATATTCAGCTCGAATTAATTCAATAAATTAACGAACAAAATCAAGAAAAGTACAATTCGAGGATAAGGAAGAAAAAGTTCGCCATTAATTTAAAGAATTTTATTAATTCAACCAAGCACTTTAATATTCTCAAACAAGATAACCTATACTTCGACCAACAATTTGTTTCTTCGAGAATTGAGATTGTTGGTATCGTTGGTTCAAGATATTACTGACTTGTTTCAACAATACCAACAATCCTCGAATTTCTGCTATTTACTATGTCACCAAAAATAAGTCTCAAATGCGTTTTGGAATGAGTTTAAGTAGAAAATTTGATCTTATAAAGAGTTCAATGGTATTTTTAATGAAGAAACTTGTTCTTGATCCGAGAATACAAATCTTCTAGAAGAAAACAAAGTAATTGTTAGTTATGAAAACTAATGTTTGTTCAATGTCGAATTTGGATGTATCTCACGAAGATAACATACTTTTGATCGAAAATTCCGAATTTTCCAAACCAAAAAGCCGAATATTTCAAGGAAAGAATTTCTTGAATAAACCTATTCACTCAATCTACTTGATTAAGCGTGGGACGCTTTTTTCCATAAACACTACTTAACAAAATTAATCCCCCCACACTAATCTCAATTTAAATACGTCAATTAGTTATCAAATGCATTTTTAATCCCTGCGAATAAGAAATGGGTGTGCCTGCTACTCCTTTTCTTCATTTTGTGTTTCTTCAATATAAAGTCGGCGACCCAAGAGTGGCATTTTAATTAAAAGCATTTGTTACAACGGCCTACGTGACACCAAGCGGAGAAAAAAATCTAAATGTAACTTAAAAATGTTTTGATTCTTTTATTGTGTATTAAGAAACATTTTTATTAAAATTAATTTATTTTTTCAAATTTATTATTAAAAAAAAGTTTTATGGATCCAAGCACACATGCCTTGAGCACTTGCTGCTTAACGCCGTAATCAAAGTTCAATTTATAAAGTTTTAATTATAGTAATTGCAGCGAGACTTTGAAAACTTACGCAGTTTGCATTGCGTCAATTATCACACACTCAAGCTTATATTATTTATCGTAATAATATTTCTGATATAAATATTAATATTCTAAGCTTGATATGTTCCAAAAAAAAGTCTTGTTATAATGTGAATTATTTAAATATACTTCAAGGCGTAAAAACATAAATTACTATTAAGTACGTGCGAAGCAAACGTTAACTGTCAAAGATCTCAGTTAAATGCAGAATGCATTCAATTATACAACGGCTGTATGTCATCTCGAGAGTGCATATCTTTGAAAGCTTTAATTTAAGCGGCTAAACAGAAATAAAGCAACTCTTAATTGAAGTCACCAGATTGAAAATAAAAAAATTTCGTATGAGGTCTATATAATTTGATTGAAGAAAAAAATTTTTTTATTTAGGAAAAAATTCAAAATAAATTACTCGCGCTTCATAAAAGCCAGACGCCCAATCGTTATCTAACACACCAAACAGCCTCATATTTTACACGACCCTTACGCTTAGATATCCTTACAAACCATCAATTTCCCTTTACATCAGCTACAGGTTCATACGTGTACGTATGGATAAATTTAGATTGTTTTATAATTTTCTACTTTATGTTTTGCTTTAAATTCGGGCAACTTTCGCGTCATTAATTTATTTTGAATAATAAAATAGCAGGTAGTAAAGTGTTTATGATTATTGTTTAAATTTCCGGAGAATTGATCGGCCGGAAAAAGAGAATCTAGACAAAAATGTTACAATATTAAATAAATTTGAGTGATGGCGCGGACGAGTAGGAACTTGATACAAAACAGTAATGGAAGAATGAAAAACTAAAAAGTAGTGAGGAACTAAAATAAAATTAAAATGCTTTCTACAGCTACTCTATATTCTTTTAAGACAAATGTTTATGAATTATGAGATATTTATTTATATTTATTAGCCGTGTATATACTGAAGTATAAATTTAGCCGGTGAATTTAGAATTAACATTAGACGATTAAATTCAAATTTTCAGCGCAGATGTTGCCATGGGTAATATTGTAGCATAAATTTAAACGGTTCCACAAGTAAAATAATGCTTTCTTCTTGAGGCACTGCTAACTAATGGCAGGATTCCAAACAACTTAATGTCACTTTAAAGTTATTTAAGGTAAAAATTATTAAAAGTATAATAATATCTGCACAGAAAAAAAAAATCAATCGTGACTCAACAATTTTGTTTTTTTAAATTATTTTCTATCGTATTTGTTATATATTTGCGGTGTTTCTGGTTAAAAATATTTTGAGATTATATTTATCCTTACTTGTTCACGCAGATATCTTCTATACAATCGATAATTACATAGCTGCGGCTAAAATTTTTTTTATTCTTGTTACATTGTTGCGGTTAACATATTGTGATTCGGGGTTCCACCACGAAATCTCCCCGACAAAATACGCTTCAAAATCTCGTTGTGCCCTTTTATCATGATTTTTTGTGTATATTTACACGAAAAATACCATTACAACTGTCAGGAATAATAATATTATTATTTAAAATTAGATTTTGTCGGTGAGATTTTGTCGTGTCACCGTGATTCGGACATGGAATGGCAAAATTGAAAAAAAAAAAAAAAAAAATAACAAATTATTTACTAAAAAATTCCGAGTTTAATTTATTTAATGTATTGTGAATTCTCTATTGAAAATTTTGAAGTATAATTTATTAATAAAAATTCTTATTTTTAACTTTTTAAAAATAATATTACTAAAAATAATAAGTTAATTAATTAAAGAAATACAGTGGAGTTCTTGGTTCGAGTATTATTTTTTTTTTTTGTAAATATATATCATGATCTCATAATTGAATGGATAGAAATCACCAAATCAGTAGATAGAGTAACGATGACTACATAACAACCAGAAGAAATAAATAATCATTGACAACTCATCGTATCTTAAGTATGTAGCAAACAACATACATTATCGCCGACCTCGATGAACTGAATGAACAGAGCAGAGTGAATAGAAGATCAAAGGGAAGAGAAGATCGGAATGAAAAATAAAATTGACGCTTGACTTTAATCTCCAACAATCTAAGGATTGCTTGATCTCAATCGCGATAAATCCACTTCGGTAATTAGAGGCATTATGTCCATCTGATTTACGAACTCTGGCCACCCACCTTTAAGATTACGCATCCTCGACGTCAGATTAGCATGTAAGGTATCGATCGCGCGGTTACAAGTTATCGATTACAGTGATTCAATCCTTCAAGCAGTGCGATGGACTATCAATTCAATTAGACCGATTCATCAGATTAGTTTCTACAAGCTATATATATATATATATGATTTAATTTATACTCACACATATGTTCTCCCAACGGCCACACTTGAGGTCCGGAATTAACTTCAACAAGAACAGTTGGGGCACAAATTAACAAAACACACAAATCAGCTGCACTCAAATTCACTAGAAAGATATTTGTACTATTCCTCATGTCCTTTCCACGGAATACGACCAGCGGAACCTAAAAAAGTACGAGAAAAAGTTTTTGTGAGTAAACATGTCATTTTCGGAGTGAAATTTACTCGGAGAAAAATTTTATTTAGATTAATATAAAAATAAACTGGGTGAAGTATCGAAATTACTAATTTGCAAATCAAATCAAATAAATTTACTTTTTTTCTCCGTAAATCGCACTCTGTGCATTACATCGATTCTTTTCCTCTGTCCTTTGAGTAATTGGATCAATCGAATTTACAGTGACTGCAGAGCATTTTTTAATGAGTTAAAAGCATTCTGAAGGATTACTCAAATGTACCACTTATTGGCATCTGACACCCCGGGAACTCCCTAGTAGCATTACTATTTTTTTCTCCTACTCTTATATACTGATAAAAAAAATATCTTCATTCAAGAAAAATGTCATTCAATGTTACCCCCAAGAAAAAATATTTATATATGAAAAATTGTATATAATCCTTTAGTAAAAACTTGATGTAACGTTTTCATTGTTGTTGCTTTTCGTTGCTATGGTGACCTTTTTTGACAGTGGTTATCATAGCAACGGTTATCATGGCAGCGGTTAAATATTAATGAGTAAAATTTGTAAAAATATTGATTAATTTAATTGTCGATAATAAATATTTTGAAAGAAGCACGTTTGATTTTCTAGTTGTATATAATTATATATGTGATTTCATATATGATTATATGCAATTATACACGGAAAGACCAAGATTATACGGGATATAATCCCAGATTATACTGAGTGAAAAAAAAATTTCAGATAGTAGCTAGTATAATCCAGATAACAATGAGTATAATCCAGATTACAATGAGTATAATCCAGATAGTATTCAGTATAATCTGGATTATACTAGTTACCATCTGAAATTTTTTTCGCGTCAGATGTCACTGAGTATAATCTGAGATGGTATCCAGTGTCATCTTGTTCTTTCCGTGTATATGATTATATAGAAAAAGTTTTTCTTGTATCAAGTAATTTTTTATCAGTGTTGAAAAAATTATTTATGGGCCTTATTATTCTACTATAATAAAATAATGGTTAATTTTAGCAAAAAATTAAATTGAATGATGATTAACCTAAAAACTTATTAATTAAAATTTTATTTCAAATATCCTTTAACCTTTCTTATATAAGTATATACTTATACGTAAAAAACTGATGAAGCAATAAACATAATCACCATTAAATTTCCAATGATTCCAAGCACCATTACAGTTATACAAACTACCATCGAAGTTGCTCTTATATATTCGGGTAACATATAAGGCGTTGACGCAGCAGTGCTGTTATCTGGTTCAATTACTGAAACTTTTATGGAAAAGTATTTATTATCAACGACAGAATTAAAAAGCCGAGTTGTAGAAAGAATATTTAATTGTTTAGTTATTTACCTGAAAATCCTTCTAACGTACTGCTGCTACCAAACGCCGTAGTGTAAAAAGATGAATTCAGCTCAAAAGCCGGCACCGATACAGTCGTTAACATTTTTAATACTCAACAATAAATTGGTATTATTGTCAACGATTTTTAAGAAGATAAAATAATATTGATACTAAATACGTCATTTTAATATAATAAATTTTAAATCACTTAACTGGAATTATTTATATTAAATATCAACTAATATTTTTTTAATAGTATAACAATTAAATTTTTCTTTTGGTATTTTTATAATCACTATTTCACAAATCATATTTATTTTGCAGTTTGTAATAAATATTTCATTAATTTTTTTCACCATTATTAGTGCAGTCAAAATAATTAAATTCATAGTAAGATTTTATTTTATTAATTGTTAATGATTTAAGCTCAAAGTTTGTCATGTTGAGAAAGAATTTTTCTGAGCTCCATTTTTTGCAGAACCGTAAATCTGAAAAAAAAAAAAAATAAATTATCGGTATTTAACATATATATATGTTTATAGAGTATGAATCATATGACAAGTGTAAAGAGTTGCGTAATTAATAATGCAAGCAATTATGAAATTATTTATGATTTATGAGATAAATGACAACTGATAACACTCTCTGTTAGTCAGTTACTTTGTTATTGCATTTCGGTCGGATGTATACTAATAAAGTTAACATAATTTGTAATTGATAAATTATAACTGTGAGTAATGATTTTTTTATCAAGTGTTATATAAGTTGGATTGTTCCATTCTTTTGACCGTAAAATTTTAAGAGAGCGGAAATTTTTTTAGATTTATAATTTTTGCTCACTTATTAAGGACCGATAAAAATGCAATAATTTGATAAATTTGACCCATAATCCTGATTGGAGTCGTCAGGTGAGCGATTTTAAGTTTACTGGGGAAAGATATATAGAGTGGATAATTTGGGCGCCAGCCCAAATTATCCACTCTAGTCACAGGGAGCTACTTACAAACTTAAGGGGCTATTCTAGTCCAGAAGCATGAATTTCAGGTAATTTTTGAAGTGCCGTAAAAAGGAAGGCAATCAATATTTTTACCATTCATTTTTTTATAAATTATTTATAATGGCGCTGTAACAAAATAACCGAACGACAAAATAATTAGATGACAAAATATTCTCAAAATCGTGTTGTGCCCTTTTAACATGGTTTTTGTGTGTATTTATTCGACATTAGACCAACACAAATGCGGGTAATCGTGTCGTGCCCTTTTAACATGGTTTTTATGTGTATTTATTCGACATTAGACCAATACATGAGATTGTTGCCATGTTGTGCCCTTTCTAACATGGATTTTTTGTATGTTTATCAAAGAATATTTTTTTCCAAAATATTTTGTCGCGTCACCATTTATAATTGTGGTCTTTAATTTAAGTTTACTGGAAAATTGCCATTTGTAAACTCGAACGTTTATAAACTATAAATTTGAAAATTAGTTGATGGCATTTGCAAAATTAGTCGGAAAAAAAATAATATTCAAGAATTACGAGAGATATACACGGAAAAAAGTAAACTGTAATATTGAGTCGGATTCCGGTTAATTTTTGTGGTTTCAAACAGTAAAGCGGACATCTGGCAAAAATATAAATATTATAGAACAATTTAGAAAGTATAAAAGCCGCAATTTGTAATTTAATATCCAAAATAAGTGATAGTTGTCACTATAGTAAATAACGACTCATCTTAAAAAATTACAGTTTCAAACAGTAAAAATTGCCATCCATTCTTATAATTAAGATGAAAAATATGAAAATATACACAATAAGACAAACTATTCGTAACGCGATTGGTCAAATATATCATAAGTATGAAAATATAGATAATTCCATACCAAATTCACACGCGGTCTCACTCTGGGATAATTTAACATTTGAAACAGTAAAAATTGTACTTTTAAAATATACATTTTACCAGTCCAAGCAAGTCAATAATTACAGTTTGATTTTTAGCGTTGCGTTTAAAATTTACCATTTTACTTTGTAAATATTGACGTTGCTTGTATTAGAAATTTATTAACTTTATTTAATACTTTTTACATATCATAAGATCATTTTTTAGCTACCAAATGATAAATATCAAAGTCTGAATTCTTAATTATTATACTTGTTAATAATTACAAAAATTATTTTCCACTTTTTAGTATTGTTTTTTTATTACAGTGTGTATTTTATTTTTTTTAAATTAAAATTTATTTAATCTTCATTTTTATTTAAATTTTATAAATTAGAATTAATTTTTAAAAATTTTGTTAAAAGTATTTTTACTTTTTTATAATTAAAGTTTCTCAATATTCTTTTGCTTAAATATTTTTTATTTCTGATCTCTCAGCAGACAACTGTTGATCGGAAGCTTAAACGTTAATATTTTTATTCTAAAAAATTTTACCACAAAAAAATTATTCATTATTTTAAAATTTTGTTTTTACTTTAATATTTATTTGATAAAAAATTTGTTGTTTAATTTAATAAATCATGCACGTGTTTAATTCAATTAAAAATTCAAGCTTGAATAATTTTTAGTAAAGAAAAAATTTATAAATAATTTTAATAAATTAATTCTTACCATAAAAAAAAAAATTAATTCCTAACTACAGTTACAAAAAAATAAAAACCAAAATTCCACAAAATTATTACGTAAATTTTTGAAACCAAAAGTCACATTTTCACTTTTTTATGATGAACTTCAAAAATCATTTTTAAACAACAAAATAAGCGACTGAATAATTTTTAATCATTTGCGGTGATAATTAACAAAGTTAATCTTGCCAAAAATCATTGAATAAATCATGTCATGATACTGAGGTGCTTAATTTATTCTGTTATAAGTTATAACTAATGAAGTGCTTATTCTCGTGCGATTGAATGATGCTTGTTAGATTCTCTAATTGTACGCGCCGCGAAACGTGACGGTAAACTGAACTTATAAGCAAACGTTTTCGTAAAAGAGCATCGCGCGCCAACTTTTTTTTATTCTCGCGAAAAATATGCGCCTGCGCGACACCGATCAAATGTTCTTGTTGAGTCTATTCATTTCGGTCCATCGTTAGTTTTAGTTATTCATCACTTGTATAATGAGAATTTTAAAATACAAACATTTTTTGTGAATGATGGTCATGCAGTAATAAAAGTTATTACATCTTCTCTAACTGGAAATTAATTGTATAGTTTTTAAAATTTTATTAGGATAAATGAATAAAATTTTGCTTTATTAAATAATGACTTTTGTTAAATTGCACTGTACTTTCTTAAATATTGACATTTTTAAAGATATAAGCTCATCCCGATGTTACACTCATCAAGAGGTATCATTTGAGTACCCACATGCATTTTTGATATATTTTTCATATATACATATATATAATATATATTTTGAAGATATAAGCTCATACTGATGTTACACTCATCAAGAGCTTTCATTTGAGTACCTACATGCATTTTTGATATATTTTTCATAAATACATATATGTAATATATATAAATATATAAAATATATGAAAAATTGATGTGGGTATTCAAATAAAAGGTCTCAATGAGTGTAATGTCGGGGTGAGCTTATATCTTTAAAAATTTCAATAGTTTACAAGATACAAGGTCATTTCTTAATTATGTATCAAGAGTAACTAATCTTGTAAAGAATAGTTGAAAAGTATTAAACTTTTCTGAACCTGAAAAAATATCTACTCAAATTTTTTGTTAAAATTGTCTTACTTGCACAACTATTCAATCTCACGTTAAATGTTGTCACTATAAAATCAGAAAATCCAATTTTGGGAAATCAACGATACCATCAATTTGGAATAAATTTTGTTTCTGTCAATGAAAAGTTACAAAATAATGTATAGGATAACAAATTATCGGAAAAAGTATCCACAAAACTAATTTACAAATCAATAATACTGCTGTAAAGCTTTAAAAGACCTTAAAGCGCCTGACTCAACTCTTCTGGAGCGAGAAAGTTTAGCTATTGTGCGCCCTCTGTTGGGAATTCCAAGCACTAAGTTTTATTACAGCTGCGCAAGTATTGAAATTTCGTGTGGAAAATCTTTTTAATGATAAGAACATAATTGAACTCGTTAATTGTTAATCTGATTAAGGGGTTATACCTAGTAAGAATTTTCAAAAAATCAATTTTGGATTTTCGGAGTGTTAATATACTTGAGTATGATCTCTGAAAATTTCAAATTGATCCGGCAAATATTCTTGAAGATAAATGCATATTCGTAAGGACGTCTCCGAGCGTTCGAAAGTAGGCGGAGCGTATAAAAACGCGTTTTTCTCAAAACAGTATTTTCAAAGTCGGTGAGCACGATTTCTCCAAAACGGCTTGACCGATCGGTTTCAAATTTTTACACAACCTTCTTAGACCTATTCCCCGGGTATTAATCGAAGGAATAAGACTTCTGACAATTATTTCGATTTTTTAGACCACTTGAAGTTGGAAATTTTTTCAAAAAGGCCAACTTTTCTTTGGGAACCCGCCACTTTGTCAAAAATAAAAATTTTAACTAGTCCTTCGATCAATACCTGCATCCACATATCCACTAAATAAACTTTTCGGAATTTTCCATTTGATATAATCCAAAGCAGAGATATCTTGCTCACCGCTTGACACGTTTTTGCGGAGGACCTCCAGGAGATTGTCTACTGGAGAAGTACAACATAATATTTTTAAAAACCGACAACAAGATTTTAAAATATAAAAAATCTACTACATTTACTTGCCATTCATATATTTGTTAAATAAAATGTCTCTTGAAAAAAAAAAATGCCTTTATTAGACTTGGAACTAAGTATAACTCCTTAATAGTTAGAATTGTTTTTCACTTTTCTAGTAAAACTTAACGTTGGGGAATTTTCAGTTCCGTCATTCAAAAAAAAAAAAATTATTTTTAACTTCGGGCACTATTGCGTCGGCTTGGAGGTCAACAATTTTTCTATTCGAGTAAATTTATTTGCATTTTTTGTTATTCTACCCCCGTTTGCTCCCAAAACAATTCTCTTCGATAATCACAGTTCTTTTAATATTACATTCAGCAAAAAAACAATCACCTA